TCTAAATTTTTTGATTTTCTTGGGATTTAGGTTCGGGAAAATCGCTGATTAAGTTTTCATTTGGTTTTTCATTATTTTTATTTGCTTTAAAAAAACGTTTCGGCTAACATTATAGCCTTCATCAGTGTTGTGTCAAAAAAATAGTGTCGAATATAATCCAAAAAATTACATATAAAATATTCACACCACGCACATAATGTTTACTGCGTACTCCATAGTCAATGTAGATAATTTTAGTGTTAAGAATAATAATTTTAAAAAATATGTGGTCATCTTTTGATAAGTTTTTATTAGTTTATTAATTGCAGTAAACATTATGAGGTGTGAATTATATTGTATATGTAATTTTTTGGATTATATTCGACACTATTTATCTCATATGACACAACACTGATGAAGGCTATAGTTAGCCAAAACGTTTCTTAAACCAAATAAAAATAATAAAAACAAATGAAAACTTAAATCAGCGTTTTTCCCTGAACCTAAAAATCCCAAGAAAATCAAAATTTTAGAATAATTTACATATAAAATGCCAGCGATCTTCATTTCATAGCCATCGCTGACGCCTTTTTAGATAATATTGTATTATTTGTAAATATAATTTTTCGAACATTGATACTTGCAAAATATACATATAAATTTTGTGAATGCAAATAATAATACATCACTATTAGTAGATATTGAATGTTTTTGTTAAATTAGATCGATTTTCAAACCCCAAAATTTAAAATATATTTACATTTTACCCATTACCTTATGTACCTATACATTATTTGTACATTGTAAAATATTTGCTGCATTTGTATGGTAGGGTTCATAGTTTATTTGGCAAAGTATTTATTACTATAAATAGGTATATATGTTGTAGTTGTTAACTGTATATTATGTATATTTCATGTAAACTATATTATTTTTAAAATACAAACCAAAAATCTGAGGAATAATTATGTTTTCCATGTATTCTACAACATATTTATTAATCCGTTATATCTAACTAGCGTGACGTCATAAATCTCGCCCGTAGGCTGATCTTTTAATAGAAGGCACTGGTCTAACATCAATTGAACTATTCCGAGCTGTTCTAAACAAGATAGGATGGACAAGCGCGTCATCATTAGAAGAAGCAATTATTATTATTAAAGCGATTCGTAAAACAATATTGCTAACTGTTGATTCTATAACTAGGTAACAAATCTAAAAACAATCTAGTTATCTCAATTACGAAAATGTAAATTGCCAGACCTGCCCGCCTTGTTTCATACGTGTGTATCGATCATACGACACGAGTCGATCTCATTTAAATATTGGCAGATCAAAAAAGCCCGTTTCCAATAAATACAGCGGCGTAATTTCGGGGACAATCGCACCTTCTTTGAATTCATTATACCGATGTCCGGTGTTTGTTCGACGGTCCACGTGGACCCCTGGAAAACCGACACGGGTTTCCTTCTTTAGCCTTTCTCGTTTTTTGTTTACCCCTTTTCCGTGCGGGTATTTATTCCGGACTGTGTGCGACACTTTTGCGCGTCTGCTGGACCGTTTCCAGAGAACCTTATAAATTATTCATGAGATTCAAATCGGCTATGGAGAGCGTTTATCGGTAATTTTTAACAGGTTCATTTTTAGCATTAAAACTGTTTCTATTATAATAACCCAAGTAACATTTTCACGACTTGTTTACCACATGTTTACTAAACACAACGTTGGATTAGTTACAAAAAATAGTTAGCTCCCTACCTTAGGTATTAAAATCAATTTAAACGTTTTTATAACGTTGTGCCGTCGTTGGACTAGTACTACAGCAAAGTAGAAGCTTCTGCGACGTCGAATAAACGTTGTCATGTAACCTTTTTTGCTTAAGTGATTTTTAGGTGATTCGGACAACGTAGTTACAACGTTGGACAATATAGAGTTTTCCGACATCAGTTTCAGGACCTATTCCAACGTTATGCAAACCTCGTCTGTTTTACTAATTCCAACGTTGTTTAGATTTCCTTATTCTTACGTTGGTAGGACGTCGAGTCACTACCTTTTTGCAACTGTATTGAACCATAACCTTAAATCTTAAATTTTCACTTCATTGTTCTGTTCAGTCAACAGTTCAGTGCTGTTTTGTTTTTATAAAAAAAAACTTAATTAAAATGGGACATAAGAAAGGTACATATAAAACTAAATTTAAATATACATCGACATATATTACCGATAGTTTATCCACTCCCTCGTTTATTTAGATTATAGAGGGCGGCACAAGCTAGACTCTAGGATGACTAAATTAGGCAATCTTGCGACTAGTATACTACCTGTTAAGGCCGAACTGGGACTTTATTAGTCCAGTATGCGACATGCGACTACTCGAACTACTCCATCTTAATCTCCAAAACAGCAAAGTGAAAGCCGCCATGTTGTTAAATAAGAAAATGTTTCGTTCCTAAAATAGCAATTCCTGCTTTTTGAATACATTAACTTGAAATATTTGACCCTAAAAAACACGCGGAAACAATTTTTTCGACTGCGAATAAATTATTCTCATTTTACTAAAAAAAATTCAAGAAAATTTTCAAAACTTCTTTAATTTTAAGGCCCATTAGTATTTTTCAAAGTAGAAACAATACATTTATCAATAAAGTTGTTTGCGTTTAACTTTTTTGCCTTGGGTAATGAGTTACAGAGTCGGTTAAAGTGTTTCAATAATAATTATGATCTTCAAACATTCTCCACACTTAAATACTTTTGTTTTGTTTTCCTTCACTGCCATCTGACATATGTCTCTCACTAAATCATAAAAATAATATTTTTACTATAATTTAGGATAAAACGCGACTTAGACGCCATATTAGTTTTGTATTTCTGTGAATTAGGATTTTAAACAACGTTGCAGTTTGTACTAAATTAGGCTTCTAGCCAACGTCGGTATCCAACGTCGTTTCGATCCAAAAATTATTCTCCAAACTAGTGCAGACTAGGGTTGGCACGAGGTTGTGCCGACGTTGGGCCCCTTTGTTGCGCCCGACGTTTGGTCGCGTGACACAACGTTGTCCCGACGTCCAAATGCTGCTTGGGAATATGGAGTTCTAAACCGTAAAAAAAGGTTATGCAATATTATTTCATACTAGATTCTTCGACGTGTGATTTTCAATCGAATAATGTAAAAAAATTCCGAGGGTGTCATTAAAAAGTCAAAAGTTGTAATTTCCGGTGAAACAGGAAGTGATGAAAAACAATTGAATACGTCAGTCAGTCCTAATTTATGCTCGAATTTATGTCCTATACTATAATATACCAAATCTGTTTTTTTTATCTAAAAAAATAAGAAGTTATAGGTGTGAGCCATTTTTGAAACGCACCCGGTATACACATATCAAGATATTTTCAAGAAATAATGCACCACATAAACTCAGTGTTTTAGATTTATTATTCATTTTAATATTCATAATATTTTAAATAATTTTTTGTGTATGATGTAAAATTTATTTTAATGGACTTCTTTCAGGTTTTACACTTAGACGCCTGAAGTCAAATCAAAGCAGAGAAGAAACCCAACCCAACGATTGTTCTTCTCTGATCAAAGTCTAAATAAACAAAAGGTTTGTTTGTATACCGGGTGCGTCTCAAAAGTGGCCCACCCCTATAACTTTTTTATTTTTTCACATAAAAAATCGAGATTTGGTAAGTTAGTATATGACATAAATTAGGTTTGATTGACCTATTCAATCGTTTTCGGCCACTTCCTGTTTCACCGGAAATGACTACAACTTTCGATTTTTAAATGGCACCCTCGGTATTTTGTTAGTTTATTCGATAGAAAATAAAACTCGGAATAGAATGATATACCATATGTCAACTTTTGACATTTTCGATTTTTTTTTGAAATTGCAACACGCGATACATAACGACAATTTGTCTCGAAATACCAAGAATGTGGTACCAAATTATTCGTAAAAAAATGCTTTTTCCAAATATGGTAATGAGCCACCCTCGTTCCATTTGAAAAAAACTGAGATATGATTAAAAATACGATTTGAGCATTTTCTCTAACTGGCCAGCACAAGATACAAGATACTAAAAACATTAGACGATCAAATCTGTTTTCCAAGGCTCCTTGATTAAAAATTAATGTTTTTAACACAGACATATGGCACTCTAGATTGAAATTTAAAATAAAATTTTGTTTTAAGCGAAAATGCCAAAAGTTGACATAATATGATATGTCATTCTATTCTGAGTGTCATTTTCTACCGAATGAAGTAAAAAAATACCGAGGGTGCCATTTAAAAAACAAAAGTTGTAGTAATTTCCGGTGAAACAGGAAGTAACCGAAAAGAATTGAATACGTCAATCAGTCCTAATTTATGTCATATACTAATATACCAAATCTAATTTTTTAGTTGAAAAAATAAACAAATTATAGGGGTGAGCCACTTTTGAGACTCTATTCTATCTGTCTCTTGTAAAAAGACACCATGGTACCCATATAACCTTAAAAAATGGTGTCAGAGTTGACTTGTAAATGAAGACTGCTATCATTTTATAACTAAATTTATATGGTGAATGTAATCGATCGTCATTTCCAAGCCAACTTGATGCTAATTTTTCGATTATACCTACGGTATTTTTATCCAATATTTTTGTCTTATATCGCCACATTTTGCACAAGAGTACGCATTTCATATCCAGAACATTAGACCGACTGTCAACCAAAATAAACCAGTCATACCTTAATCCGTAGTTACTTTAGGTATATTTCGAGAACCACAGATGGACTGCAAAAACTCATCGTCGAAGGACAAATTAATGGCAAACGACCAAAAGGAAGGACTCCGACGCGCTGGGTGGACCAAACTAAAAAATTACTGGTCATGGTATACAAGAGGCTTCTGTAGCGCACAAGTAAAACAGGGATGGGAACAACATTTCGCGCAATTGAGAAAGAAGATCTTGTAATTTTATTTAATAATTTTATTTTGTTTTAGGATAAAATAAGGACTAAGAAAAAAACACAATTTCTTAAAAGATTTCATTCTTTATTTGCAATAAAACATAGATTGTCTAAATGTACGTGAGACAAAAAGTATAAAATAATAAATAAATAAACATTTTATACAGGACCGCCATAAATTAATTCAACAAAAAACATCTTTTTTTTCTCTTCTTGTATAGCAATAACAATATAATGGTATATTTAACAGTGACTATATTATCGTAATTATTACTCTTAGCCATATTCAACTTTTTTTTTCTTCAAAAATCGACGAATTTTAAAACTGTGCGTGATTAAGTCACTTAAGGAGAATCTAAGTAGCGCGAAAACCCAGAGAAATACTTAAACGTAGATGAGTGATTTTAGAGCTCCTCTATGATTACTTATTTTTCTGGGCCTAATAACGAAATCTAATTAATATGGCTAATGTTCTATTCGTAACTGGAGAGTTTCTTGGCACCTTCTGAAGAAATTCGCGTTCACAATCAAAGTAGTACCTCTGCGCATCTTAGGTCTGCGCAGAACCGTAAGTACCGGGTGGGGGTTTGTAGTATTTCGGAAACGTCAAAAGCTGCACAGAATTGAAGGCGAATTTTCGCAATCCTATGTTTTTCATGGTGTTTTCTATCCTACATCCCTCACTGAGAAGAAAAGAAAAAAAATATTTTAAATCACTCGCATATTTCCTCATAAATAACCTTAGATCTTATAAACTTCGCGGATAAAGCTATGCCATTATTATTATTTATATTTATATTATTGTATAAGCCTATCCTTCTCTCTGAATACGGTAATGAGCATGCGCAGAACGATATTAGACGCGAATGGTAACTTGGAGCGTTTTTTCGTTGCGTTGACAACAATCCGGTGTTTAACCATAATTTCAATACAAATTTCACTGGTTTGAAATGACGCGTAGAAAATTGTGACGTCACCTATCAGCATTTGACTGAATAGTTGACAGAGTGCGCGAGCCTCTGAAGAATAATATATATAATATCTTAAAATCACGTTAGAGTTTTTTATTTTTATTAAGATCGTTAAAAAATACGTTTTTATGTGGGATTATTCTTTATTACCCCAATCTTAAATTTACTTTTATATTTTTTACTACTAGAAATTAAAACTTTTTATAATTAACAGGTTACTGCCATTTTTATCGAAGCACTAAACACCTACCAAAGTTGTTCGGATGGTGGAGGCGTTCGAGGGTTCGAGGATAGATTTGTATTTTGTGGATTTTACGTTTGGTGTTAAATACTTTGAGTTTTCAATTTTGTTTTATTATACCTCTTTATTATTTTTGTAATGAAGGGTGTTAAAGTTTGTTTTGTTAAGGGCTGTCTAAATAACTATAAAATGTCTCAAGAAAAAGTTTTTATAACTGTTCCTTGGGATGAAAGCCGTCAAAGAGCCTGGTTTGAAGCGGCAAGACAACAATATGTCAGCAAAAGTATGAGATTTTGCTGTGAATATCATTTTAACGTAAGTTTCTTACGTTTTATTTTACAATGAATTTTATATATTTATGTTAGAAAAATGGTTTTTATTTACCTTCGTATCTGGTGGCAAACCGTGACACTTTTGATAGGTGATTATTTTTTTTAAAATGGGATGAAATTGAAGTAAAATAAAAAAATACGGAGCATTATATGTACAAATTATTTAATAAAAAAAATTAAATAAAAATAATTTTGTCATATTACTTTTATTTTTAAGAACTCAAAGTGATGGAACTTCAAAAAAAAAAGAAAAAATCTTGTCTAAACAAAGTTGAACTAAATGGAATTCAAAGGACCACAATACAGATGTTTTAGCAAGGTTTAGCTAGAGAGTTACTTAAAAAAACAGCATGGAGAAGAGATGTACCGTATGATCGAAAAAAAACGGCGTCAGCAATGGCTATGAAATAAAGATTGCTGTCATTTCATATGTAAATTTATATGGGAAATATCATCAATCATCATTTCCCAGCCAACTAGACGTCGTTTTTTTTCGATCATACGGTATAAGGTACATAGTGTAAGAAATTAAACTAAAATTGTAACACAAAAGAAATAAAAGCAAATGTGAGTTGAATAACAGGTTTTATAAGGTCCCTGTTATAATATTAATGAATTAAGATATGCGAATTAAAAATGAAATAAATAGTTTGATTTAAAAAGTTTTATTTATTTTTTACCTACTTTAGAGCTTTATTAAAAACTAGTTGAAGCCTGGCGCATCCACCACATCAGGAAAAAAAAAACTTTTTTTTTAATTAAATGAAAAACAAAAAATTCGGCGACTACAGTTTTTAGAAGAGCCATTTAGCTATCTTTTAGTAAAAAAAGCAACTTTCTAGAGCAAGTCGTTACTTCAGTAGAGACGACACAGATAAACATTAGCATTTTATATAATATGTAGTAATGGTTTATAATTGAAAGGATTTAAATAAAATAATTTATAAATTACTGTTTTATCACTATTATCCTAACTTAATGCATTCTCTTCGTTCTGATGCTCTAACAGAACAGAGACTCTCTTTATTTTGTAACAGTCCTTATAAAGTCCGGCACTAGCAACAATAGTTTTTTGCACCATTTCAATGTGTTTATTGGTGTTTATACCCCATACGTTCTAAAATGATTATAGCCTACATACTCAGAATAGGTAAGTCTTTTCCAAATAATCTAAAATCGAATTTATTGGAATAAACGAAATCTTCAATAATAACAATGTCTTGGTTATGTTAAGCAATTTTGTCAAATATCAAATAAAATCAATATCTCCTCATGCCTTTGCTCATGCGTCAAATTTTTATCCGACATATAAAGCACTATTTGGCAGTTCGGGCGCCAGATAGGATATCTGGAAGATAAGTTTAATTTATATAATAGATACTGTTATCTACAGGTGAAGATACGCGTTTTTCTGCTATCCGTCAAATAAAATATATCTGGCAGATTATAACACGCTATCCGTACCTGAAAACACCGGGGGTAAAGATTATTAGGTAATTTACCATTGAATCTTTTTTCTTTAAATAATTAATATACTAGTAAACATAATCCAATAAATAATTAATATCCCAATAACAATATTTATTTTCTGTAATTTATATATTTATATTTTCTATTTTATGACATAAAAATGACATATACACAAAAGAAAGACAGACCATTGGTCAGTCAGTGTCAAAGACAAAGATAATCAGATACTCGAAAGTCTCTGATGTGTCTTCAACAGAAATGAAGCGAATTTACTTATCCACGAAGTTTATAAGATCTAAGTAAATAACCATGTATATTATGAAAAAAATACCTTCTCATACAGTCCAAAGCTTTCTGGAATTCGTGTTCTGCCAAATGATATTCATCAGAAAGAATCCGGCACTGTTCCAAGGTAATTGACATCCCTGTCCTGTCTTTGGCACTCTTACAACTCGTAAAACGTATACCTGTAAATTAAAAACGTTATTATCTAGCTACTAATAAAAGCTGTCAATTATACCTTTCATTTGTCTACATATCTGCGCGGAGAGCCTCAACACTTCGACGTTTTTGGATTTGCCGCTGTCCACTTCGGTCCTCAAGGCCATCAGCTGTTCTTGTAGAGGAAGCCCCTGCGCTCCGCCACTGGCAGTGCGTGCGTTATCACAATTATTATTTATTTTTCTGTATCGGAGAAAGTATTCGTAGAGTCTGACGTAGTTGTCGATGTTGGATCGCTCCTGAGGTCTGGTGGCGCCGATACTTTCAGCTATGGAAGCCATTTCGTTTATACCTAAAACAGGTTTTTAAGTCTGACAGTATACTCTGTTTTTTTTTCTCATGTAAGATTTCGACAGACGATAACAGAAAAAAAGCAGATGACATGGAGTTTCTAATATTTCTTAAGTTAACTATGAATGGGTGTATATATAAATCCGTCATGCGTCATCTCTTGTTGTTTTTAACCAATTTTATTGATTTATTTCAAAAATGACAGATCATATTTCAATATTATTGGTTTGAAGGAACGATGAACGACAAACGGACGCCGATGCGTATGAACTCGACTTAAGATTTTTGAGAGTTGTCAAACTCTTGCCAAATTATAGGTTATAATTTCGTGCCAAATTATGTCAACTAGAAATGATAAGTATTTTGAATTTTGGACTGTATTATTACGTGTGTTGCGGGTTTTTTAAAATTAAATGGAAGAAAACTCGAGGGAAAATTAAGTGGTGACCCAGACCACCAGTTTACAGTTAATATTCGATGCCCAGAGACCGCCAGAGACAGTTTGCCAGAGAGTTATATTAGCCACAAATATAGTTTGTATACCATCTCGTATATGGTACTAAAAACTGTAGTAGTACTGCAGAGAGATAATGTCAAAAGGTACTGGTCTACAAAAATTAAAATTAAAGTTAATTAACCAACTTTTAAGGTATAAAATTCAGTAAGTGCTATTATTAATAAAATATTTAGTTTTATGTTGTGTTTTATTTATTCTTTTGCAATATTTTTTTTTTATTTTTACATAAGTTATATTGATAAATGTAACAATAAATGCAGGAAGTTGCTTGAGCTTGAAACACAGGAAACACAGAAAGCAGGAAATCTTTTTTATATCTTTTTTTGGTATGTGGTGTTTTTTTAAAATACACCCTTGCTTGTTTTGTATTAACACATTCTGTAATTGTTTTTAATAAAACAACTCGATTCGATTTTTTCAATTTTATACATTTTTTTTCACAATATTAGTCACTTGTTACTCAAATTTTAAATATATTAATTTTCTGCTATGCGTTCCAATTGTACCAACTTATTTCTTTGTAAAATAAAATAAACTGCTTTGAAAAAAAATGACAAACACTCATCACTGTCAAGGATCTGGTCGTTGGACAGACTATAATATCTGAGATTCTGCAAATAAAGCTGTATCGAATACGGTATTACACACAACTTTGCTTCTATGAGCACGACATGCATTTTTTTCTGTTTACTTCTTTCTAAAACGAGGTTAACGAGCTATTTGAGCTTGCGCAAAACGATATTAAATACGAATGTCAACTTATAGCGAATTTTGGCCGCGTCGACAAATTTGATAAAAATAGGGATCATTAAAAATATTTTATCACAATATAACTGATATGTGTATACAATATTCTAGCAGGTATTTTTTATATTATTTGAATTTGCTTTAAATACAAATTTCAAATAGAAATAAAATCATATAATGATAATTTTGTGTTTTAAAAATGTTTTAAAATAATTCTTGGAACAACAAATTGCAACATAAAAATATGTTTGCCATTTAATGCTCTATACCATCGCAGTAAATATATCCAATAAATAACTAAATTAACTATAATTTGTTCCATATAACTGTAATTGACATTTCATATTGTCATTCATATAGCTATGAATGACGTACACAAAAGAAAGATGGATGATTGATCAAGTATCAAAGACAATTAATTGTAAACGGGTATAGTCTGTACAACGATCGTTCAACGTTGCGTCATCATCTTAGTTACTCAATACTATTTTCCCTTCCTTTGTTGCAAATTTTGGGAATACTTTGTATATTCTCTCGTTGAAGAGGTATATACACTATGTCACTATATCAAAAGAGTATATAATAAAAATTGTTTCTTACCTATATTAAAAAATACAGGGGTAACATGGAAGCTAAACGGTTGCTTGGATGGCAACAAACTATACAGATTATCAGGTATAGGTAGCGATACTACAAGACTATTTCTGCACCCTGAGACCCTGTAATAAAAAAATATAATAGCATCTTTATTTTTTATTAAAAGAATTTCGAACTTGGTCTTTATTTAACTTTTTTCAAGTGTAATCTTTACTTTTTACTTCATATCAGCATTTACGAGCCCTAACAACTAAATGTTCGGACAAACAAAAATTTATTAAAAACCTTTATTTTAATTAACTGAATTATTTACATTTAAGAAATACATTAAAAATATATTAAAATCTAACATTTCTAATGAGTATTTAAATAGTTTAATTTCTATAAACATTAAAATAAACTGTAGGCCAATAAATAAACAAAAAGATTGCACAATATCGTGACAACTAAATGTTCGGACACTTTAAAAAATATCTGTTCTAATATGGCGTTACATTGGCATGAATTTTTGCAACCACTTCAAGCCTGTTTGGCATTGTTTTTATTAATGATTGACATTCCACCAATTGCCGTGCATGTATACCATATTAAAATATGACCTCTGGAAAAAAATGTCATGTCTCTTTCGCGTTGTCTGCCGGCAGTTTAGCGACGAGAAAAGTGTCTGCCAACATTTTTCCACGTTTCTTAATAATAAATAAAAGCTATTTTCGCAATTATAACTCGTGTACCGTATAATATTTTCAGTGTCAAAATTTCACCCTTTCGATTTGCCGCCCCCGCTTTAAGCCCCGGGATTGCGCTGGCAGACATGGCTATGTCACAAAGGCTACACAAAAGGATACTTCGCAAGAAAAATTAGCCATGTAACGATGATAAGGTTTTTTTATGTAGCCAGCTTTTAGACTAGAATGATAATGTCAGGAAATAAATAAATAAATGGCAACTTGACATTTTTTACAGCAGAGCTACAACCCGAATCCCAGCGGGAAATTTAAATTCCAGTTAGTCAGCTCGGCGCCGAACATGTTTTGGTTAGCATCAATGAAAAATCGATAAAAATCGCTAACTAAAAGTTTACTTGGTATCGCTCATAGTTAACTAATATACTTCTAGGCAAGTTCTAAACACACTATCACACAACCACTTACTTTGGTGAAGGCACAGGTTCGACGGAAGGGCTAGCCCCCCTGACTAAAACGAAAAGTACTGTCCTTAAGTCTTCTATGGCCACTGACATGTCGCCCCACATGTCCACTTCGTTGCCGTGGTAACTGAGCAGGCCCTCGAAGTGGGCCAAGGGTCCCAGCTGGCCCAATGTGGTGACGTAGGCTGGGTCGGGTTTGTGACACCAGAGTTTCGTCATTAGACCCGTCACCAAAGCCGTGAGCTGTTTAAATGTTTATAAAAGAAGTTAGCTTCAAACATCTGCTATTTGCAAAATAACAATTTTATAGGTATCAAGTTTGAACAAATTTTCCAAAAGTAGCTATTATTGTTCTAAAATTAATTTGTCTATTACTCATCTTAGAGGCCATGTCCGCGGACTAAAATGCAAAAAAATTGTTTAAAAATTTAAAATTATTAAAAATACTATAGATAAAATACTATTTTTTGTAAAAATATTATGCTATTTGGACTCAAAAATAAACAATCACTGTACAAACGTATTTATAGAGAAGGTTTTCTTTTGTGCTCATTCATGTTCCTATTAAGGGAACGTACCGCCGAAACACCAACGCCCTCTCGTCACGAATAGGAATATTTTCTCTATTACAACACTATACCGGTGTTTCTAAAAAGTCGCTAACCCCTATAACTTTTTTTTATTTTTACAGATAAATAAATGAGATTTGGTACGTTAGTGTATGACAAAAATCAAGACTGATTGACGTATTCAACTATTTTCGGTCACTTCCTGTTTCACCGGAAATGACTACAACTTTTGTTTTTTAAATGGCACCGACGGATTTATTTTTACTTTTTTCCTTTGAATAAGAAGACTAAGGAAGGAGCATATCAAAAATCTTAGGTACACCGCGATGGGCCTCAAATATGGCCGACTTAAATTCCGGTTTATCAGTGCCGTTCTAATTTTAAAATGTAAAACGATGATGTAGGGTAGACGTGCGGTAGACTCAATAATTTGTTATTTTATTTTACGTTGTGAATAAATGTTGGTAGTTATTAAAATTGTTATAAAAATATATAATTCTAATAAAAATAGATAAGTTATAATAAGTATTTATTAACACAAACATCTGATACGCTACTGAAGCAGGTAAGTCAAATTAACGTATCAAAATTCTTTGACATCTGATCTTTGACAAGTAGTAAATAAAAGCTAAAATGGCAAGAAAATATATAATTTAGTTAATTTAAGTAAATTTCATAAATGATCGGTTTACTACACGTATGTATATTATATAGTCACTTACTAGCGAAAAGTTGTTCCATTATTTCACTCAATTTTTGCCGAGATCTAACGCGCGCTACACAACCAACTATTTTAGAGTCTTTTTCGATAAATCGCGATAATGTCACTGTTAATTTAAGTTCTGCCACAATTTCCATCTAGATTTACTACCTTTATACAACTATTAATAGTAGAATAAATAATAAATAACATAAAATAAGCTCCGTAAAGACTGACAAATCCACAAAATTTCAAATCAAATTCAAATGTGTCAAATGAATCGTCAAACAAAACTGTCAAGGATCCCCACCCTAGAGAGCTTTTTCCGCCCACCATGCATGAATACATGGATAGCATTATGCTCCTTCCTTAGTCTTCTTATTCAAAGCTTTTTTCAATAGAAAATGACACCCAAAGAATATACCAAGAAAAAAAAAAGAAAAATGCCTTACTAAAAATTGGTTCCATGTTAGTGACGCCATCTATTGCGAGGGTCTGAATTTAAATACGCTCATTTATATAATTTCACTTGAAACTATCATTTTAAATATAAAAACCTTCTTAAAAGTTATTTTTTAAAAAATACTAACAAATCTAATGCAAAGCGTTACTACGTGTTGTGTAAAAAATCAAATTTAATAGAAAAATGTATACATACAAAAAATAGTTAAATATATAAACATCGTTAATTATAATAAAACCAGACTAACGTAATACGCCCTACGTTTTGTAAATGGAGTTCAAAATATACACTCTTACCGCTTGTGAAAAACAAACATCCCTCCTATACCGCACATTGCAAGCCCTCTGCGCCGCCTTAGGGTCCTCCTGCACCCTAAACACCGAGTGCGTCAATCTGGCCGTCTTCAACAGTCCGTCCATCGCTTGACGCAGTTTGCGCATGCTCGGCCGCAACTCGGCCGCCCAATCGTTGATCTTCGTCAGGTCCAGGCCGTCGGTGAACTTGTTGCCGTTCCTCACCACTTTGTTAACGGGTTTCGTAACGTCATCCGTTTGATTTATCACGTTTTTGCCTACCGGCTGCGGGACGGGGACGATTTTTTTACGGTTGTTGGCGTTCTGTTTGAGTCTGACGGCTGGGCTACCGCATCTTCCACAGAGAAACTGAGAAATATCGTATTATTTTAGTATTTTAACATTAACACAGCTCGTTCGGAACCAGCTGGTTATCTTTGCTTGTTTTGTCTCGGCGCTCTGATTGGTCATAACGCCACTTTTCATCCGTAAATTTTTTACTCCAGTCCGTCAACGGTGAAAGATCGTACGATAACGGACGTTTTGTTTTGACACTTTTTGACAAATTTAATCTAACTTTAATAAAAATATAATAGTAAAAGAGCTAGCAACGTCGGGAAAACAAAAGAATTTTTTTTAAGAAAGCTAGTTCTTTAATATATCTTTTGCTGTGCTCTCCTGACCAAAGTACGGGCCGTCTGGCTGCCGGTAGACTACTGCGGTTCACTACTGCGCATCAAATCTGTACAGGGTCTCCTATTTTCATGTGATTTATGATTTCTCGTTTGTGAGTAGAGACACTGATGCGACATACAATGATGCGATTTTCACATTACTTTCCTACTTTTTTATGAAACTAAATATACTATACATAAGTTTGTCCTAGCCTCCTTAGTAGTGAACAGATGTTGAATACAAATATGATGCGCAGTAGTAAATGCAACGTCTACCGGCAGCCAGACGGTCCGCACTCTGTTCAGGAGAGCATAGCAAAAGATATATTAAAGAACCAGCTGTCTTAAAATTCTCTCTCGAAAACGTTGTTAGCTCTTAGACTATTAGTAAAACAGCGAAATCGTTATGGTAATGAAAATATAAAATGACATCAATCACAAGCAAATCGTATATTAAATGAACGGAGGCATGAAAATGCATTAAATTTAAAAATTGCGTAATTTTCTAACCAATCTAAGTCTTTAAATTCAACCAATAAAATTAATATTGTATCATCGTATCGTCGAACAACGGATGCATGAAAATCAAGCTTAAAGGATAGTATATGATAAAGTGTGTCCAATGAATCAGGAAGGATTTTGACAGACGACTGCCAAAAAAGGACACGAAATACCATTTACCTGTAAATTTAAATGACAGACACAATTTTCACTGTCATGGGTCCTCTAATTGGACAGACTATAGAGTGATTTTATTTGAATTCAACTGTAAACCCTAACCTACCTTAACTTTACTGACTAAACACATAACACTGGCCTCTATATTCAGTTGGGTGATGTCCCAAGGTTCCGGTTCATCCGTTGGCTTGTAGTAATTTGCCGAAGGTGAATTGCACATGGCGTTCGTGTCTAAAAACAATCTGGTACCCGTATCTTGATCAACAGCCTTTGATTCTTCGTTGTTGTAAATGGTAGGAACCTCAAGTTGAATACTGTCCATGGATGTCTTCAAATATAGATTAAGTTAGTTAATATTCGTTGATCCAAATATAATAATAATTAGTTAAGACTCCTGCAGACGTCGTTCTTTTCTTATCACCCTCGTATATTTTAAACTAATAACTTTTTAACCACCCTCGTAAATTCAGGTATTACAGGCTGAAAGCTAGCTCAAATATGAGTGGAATTATTGTAATACTTTTGTATTTTTTTTTAATTTCTTACAGAATCACGAAAAAAAAATTAAAACGAAAGCAATCACACCATATTCATTAGTCAGTTCCCAGACTATTAGCTGGGCGGACAAATCTGCCCAAAAAGAACGACGTCCAGGGGTACCTTTATATTCACCTCCAAATTCGAATCTTCCACATCGGGAAATATTACAAAATTGGTTTCATCAGGAGTGACCATGTTGGAACACAACGACTTTAACCCATCGCTAGTATTCAACAAATTCTCAGTTCTTTTTTCTGGAACCTTCCACAAATCCTCCATGGTTTTGTGGACGCATGGAGTGGCAAAATCTTCCAGTTCTGGACTTTTTAGGTCCAGAGATGTTAGTTGTTGAGTTATTCTTTTGAAAGGTGACAGAAGCAGACTTGGTCGACCACCTACTGCAGAGAACAAGTGATTTTATTTACAATTTATACAGAAAATAACTATTTTGTATGAGTATAAATGTCCTAAAATTAAGATTAATATTTTATTGTATAATATAAATAAAATATTAACTGATTAATAATATCTAATAATCTTACTGCTATCCAGACTGAAGTCATCGCAAACCCCTGAATCGTCTGTCACAACCAGTTTGTGTTCTTCAATGAAATTAAGAGCTTCTTCAACTAATCCTGGATCCCAGAGACTGAGGAGTATCCTAGTTTTGTTGATCATGTCTTCGCAAATTGGTAACATGCCGTTGGTTTGTTTTTCTTTAGCTAATCGCATCAGAGTCTTCATGGCTTCTACAACTTCTTTGCGCAACTGCTTTATTGCCTGCGATAGAGTAAGAGACACTCAAATGGGTGAAGGAATGAGATAAACCATATAATATTTATTCTAATTTAGAAATTAAAAAATGCTTTAAATGCGAACTCGAAAAGAACAGCGCTATATCTATTAAAAGGCACAAAACAGAGAGCGCTTATAGGGACTAAGGGGAAGAGTCAGAACCTATTCATTTTATGAACCTTGGTGCCAAATAACCTTATTTTTGAGAATAGACTTATGTACAAAATATGGTACGTAAGTTTTTCTAGTGTTCACCCTCTTCCAGAACTTCCAAGCCGCCAATGAAGCTACTCCTCTACAGCTATCTACGGTTTGTTTTTCGATCCTTGGCAGTTACGTCATCATTTTCGACGCCATATTGGTTTTCACGTATTTCCTGAATTGGTACGTAAGTTTTAAGCTGTTAATACTAGCGTCTTTTTCTATTCGTGCACATTAGACAAGGAGGCACGATATTTTTTCCGTAAATTTGGTGATCAGTATATAAAAAGAAAAAATAATCATACAATCTAACAAATAAAAGGGACTCACGTTTACGATGAAGAATTTCTGTTTCATGTGATAAACATGGACAAGAGAGAGAGACAATCTGTGACTTATCAGCTAAGAATCGAAAAATAAAGCGTAAGACGTTAAGTATGATGTCTAACCAAATTGCTTTTCTTCTAATTTTTACACGTCTTCTGAATAGGACAGCGTATTAATACTGCCGGAGATCTTTGTTTTTGGTTCACACTATATATATTATTATCACGATAGTCGTGAGTAGTAAAACCTTACCTGTATTGCATCATTGGCCATTGATATCTTTGTAGCGATTTGGTAGTTTGTACTTGACTTAATTGGAGATTCCTTCAATTGCTGAACTAACCTAATAATGGAGAAATATATATTTTAATTATAATATCTCTTTTGATAATATCTTTTGTATAATTATCTGTTTTCTTAAAAATAAAACACACTCAAAAAATTCAGTTGGAACAGTGGACGATCCTATATACAAGGTGCTTAAAAAGTAATGTGAACGAAGCGTTACCTAATAAGACCTCCATTCTTGGATCTGTGCGAGTGCGCAGTGAAAGCACCAACTGTTATCCAATCGTAGAAGCCGGATTTATTCAATGTGTCATTGTGCACCCACATCCTTTGCAAATGCATGTTGATAGGTGCGAATTCTAAGCTCCTGTCCGTTTTTCTTGAGCTTTTTTTGAAGTAAGCCCCTTTGTGCGCTTGTAAATTCTCCCTGGCCTAATTAGAGACAAAGAAATATGATTTATAAAATATTTACCTTAAAGATAAACCAATTAATATTAAAGTAGAAAATTACGAGAAGTAACTATGTATGTAATTGCTTTAGATGTAGTTGAACATTGTGTTAAATAAAATATTACAGAAAAGGTTTTAAAAGGACCGAACTTGAAACTTTACCTGTGAATAAAGTCGTAACAGGTGTAAATGCCTGTCTAACAGTTCCACCTGTCTTGAATGCCACGGTTCTCTTAGTTCACCCATCCCTGCGACTTCTTGAAGAAGTTCTTTTTCTTGATGAATCCATACATCCCTATAATTACATTATAAAGGAAATGTTTCTATGCCCTTTATCCTAAAACTTATTACACTATAATTACACTATAGCTTGTACAACGAGAAAATACATATACGACAGTTTTTTCAGAAAACTTTTGGTTAGAAATCAAAAGTTTATTGTTATATAAGCTATATATTATTACAGAGGTCAAATTTATAAAATTTTGTAAATTTGACCTCTGTAATTGTTTTAGCTTTTGGGCCTGATGATGGGAATAGTTTAAATTCCCGAAACATGTCGCCTCCCTTGCTTTTTTGAAGCATTAAAATTTAAATTAAACAACTTAAAGATTGTGAGTTATTTGTCCTTTTACCCGCCTTCAAAGATTTTGCTTTGATAATATGTACTCACACTGGGTTAGAGAACGTTTAGTTTTATATATTATGTTTTCTCTATGGATACAACAGGCTACCGCAAGCTGTTGCTAGGATATTTTATTAATTTTAATTGTGTTTTTTAGACATTGTGAATGATCGTAAAGTATAAAGTGTAATTGAAACCGCTAATTTATTCCACTAATTGGGAGGTTCTGAATGAAGCTTTAAAATGAAATTGGTCCTATCTTTTAGCATGTCACACTGTCACAACAAAACGCTTTTTGCATTTGTAATGAAGGTTTTGTGGTATCAAGCTTTAAGAAATGGACTATAAAATGACACAACTGTCAGCTAACATTTAATAAATTTAAATGTGAACTCAGGAAGAATGTATTACTATCGTACCCAAGCAGCATTTGGACGTCGGGACAACGTTGTGTCACGCGACCAAACGTCGGGGCGCAACGTCGGCACAACCTCGTGCCAACCCTAGTCTGCACTAGTTTGGAAAATAATTTTTGGGTCGAAACGACGTTGGATACCGACGTTGGCTAGAAGCCTAATTTAGTACAAACTGCAACGTTGTTTAAAATCCTAATTCACAGAAATACAAAACTAATATGGCGTCTAAGTCGCGTTTTATCCTAAATTGGGATAATTTTAGTAAAAATATTATTTTTATGATTTAGTTAGAGACATATGTCAGATGGCAGTGAAGGAAAACAAAACAAAAGTATTTAAGTGTGGAGGATGTTTGAAGATCATAATTATTGAAACACTTTAACCGACTCTGTAACTCGTTACCCAAGGCAAAAAAGATAAACGCAAACAACTTTATTGATAAATGTATTGTTTCTACTTTGAAAAATACTAATGGGCCTTAAAATTAAAGAAGTTTTAAAAATTTTCTTAAATTTTTTTTTTAGTAAAATGAGAATAATTTATTCGCAGTCGAAAAAATTGTTTCCGCGTGTTTTTTAGGGTCAAATATTTCAAGTTAATGTATTCAAAAAGCAGGAATTGCTATTTTAGGAACGAAACATTTTCTTATTTAACAACATGGCGGCTTTCACTTTGTTGTTTTGGAGATTAAGATGGAGTAGTTAGAGTAGTCGCATACTGGACTAATAAAGTCGCAGTTCGGCCTTAACAGGTAGTATACTAGTCGCAAGATTGCCTAATTTAGTCATCCTAGAGTCTAGCTTGTGCCGCCCTCTATAATATAAATAAACGAGGGAGTGGATAAACTATCGGTAATATATGTCGATGTATATTTAAATTTAGTTTTATATGTATCTTTCTTATGTCCCATTTTAATTAAGTTTTTTTTTATAAAAACAAAAGCAGCACTGAACTGTCTGACTGAACAGAACAATGAAATGAAAATTTAAAATTTAAGGTTATGGTTCAATACAGTTGCAAAAAGGTAGTGACTCGACGTCCTACCCACGTAAGAATAAGGAAATCTAAACAACGTTGGAATTAGTAAAACAGACGACGTTTGCATAACGTTGGAATAGGTCCTGAAACTGACGTCGGAAAACTCTATATTGTCCAACGTTGTAACTACGTTGTCCGAATCACCTAAAGATCACTTAAGCAAAAAAGGTTACAAGACAACGTTTATTCGACGTCGCAGAAGCTTCCTACTTAGCTGTAGTACTAGTCCAACGTCGGCACAACGTTATAAAAACGTTTAAATTTATTTTAATACCCAAGGTAGGGAGCTAACTATTTTTTGTAATTAATCCAACGTTGTGATTTAGTAAACATGTGGTCGCAAGTCGTGAAAATGCTACTTGGGTACTAAGTACACAGTTGTAGTTTCTAAGACTAGATTAATTAACTGTCTAATGTATGAATATTGATCTACTTGGCATAAATAATAATTTGTTAGGCACATTTATATAGCAAAAACACTGGATGTAAATGCATTTTAAAAAAAAATGTGACTAAAAAATTACTAAATGTTTATGATTACTAATTACTAAATAGGTAAAATTAATAGGAAAAAAAAAAGGTTTAATTGACGTAAAAATAAATAAAAATCTTACAAAATCTGATGTGGAAACGAAAAACAGAGCTTGCTCTCGGCCATGTACTCGTGCACGCAAATGTCTCCACCCAATCCCGAATGAAACCTGTAAGTGTGCAAATATGGCGAAGAAAACAGTAGTTTCAGTTCCGACTGGGATGGTAGACGCATTTTTACACCCAGACGTGGAGGTAGCGATTGTGATCTTCTGTGTGACCAAATCTGTAAAATAGAAAATAAAAAATCATCCTGTATACTTGACTTGAAAAAAAAAATCAATGTGATTGGAGTTAAAATGGCGTAGAAGATTTTAATTTTAATCAAACAAGACACCTGCTTGGTCTCACTCTTTGAATAAGAAGACTAAGGAAGGAGCATATCAAAAATCTTAGGTACACCGCGATGGGCCACAAATATGGCCGACTTAAATTCCGGTTTATCAGTGTCGTTCTAATTTTATTTAAAAAATGTAAAACTATGATGTAGGGTAGACGTGGGGTGGACTCAATAATTTGCTGTTTTATTTTACGTTGTGAATAAATGTTGGTAGTTATTAAAATTGTTGAAAAAATATATAATTCTAATAAAAATAGATAAGTTATAATAAGTATTTATTAACACAAACATCCGATACGCTACTGAAGCAGGTAAGTCAAATTAACGTATCTAAATTCTTTGACATCTAATCTTTGACAAGTAATAAATAAAAGCTAAAAATGCAAGAAAAATATATAATTTTGTTAATTTAAGTGAATTTCATAAATGATCGGTTTACTACACGTATGTATATTATATAGTCACTTACTAGCGAAAAGTTGTTCCATTATTTCACTCAATTTTTGCCGAGATCTACCGCACGCTACACAACCAACTATTTTAGAGTCTTTTTTCGATAAATCGCGATAGTGTCACTGTTAATTTAAGTTCTGCCACAATTTCCATCTAGATTTACTACCTTTATACAACTATCAGTAGTAGAATAAATAATAAATAACATAAAATAAGCTCCGTAAAGACTGACAAATCCACAAAATTTCAAATCAAATTCAAATGTGTCAAATGAATCGTCAAACAGAACTGTCAAGGATCCCCACCCTAGAGAGCTTTTATGGTGGCTTTTCCGCCCACCATGCATGAATACATGGATAGCATTATGCTCCTTCCTTAGTCTTCTTATTCAAAGGTCTCACTAAATAAAAAAATCTATGGAAGGAGATCAATATATCTACGTCTTTTCTCTTGACAGTTCAATTTGACAGACAAATTTGAATTGTTGGAAATATCCTTTGAATAAACAAATTAGGAAAGGCTGACTTCTTACGTTGTCAATAAAGGTTGGTAGTTATTACAATTGTTATAAAAATATACAACTCTAATAAAAATAGATAAGTTATAATTATTTATTAACACAAACATCCGATACGCTACTGAAGCAGGTAAGTCAAATTGACGTATCTAAATTCTTTGACATCTAATCATTGACAAGTAGTAAATAAAAGCAGAAATGCAAAAAAAAAATATAATTAGTTAATTTTAAGTGAATTTCATAAATGATCGGTTTACTACATGTATGTATATTATATAGTCACTTACTAGCGAAGTTTTTCATTATTTCCCTCGATTTTTGACCGAGATCTACCGCACGCTACACAATCAACTATTTTACAGTCCTTTTCGATAAATCGCAATAGTATCACTGTTAATTTAAGTTTTTGGAGATAGCGTCCAGTGCATGAACGAATTGGGGTAGTTTCATAATTTTTGTTTAGTTTCACAAATTTACCAACTTAAAGGTGTTCATATTAAAATTACAAGCAAACTCCACAATTTCAGCAACATTCAATAATTTCTTGCAAATAAAACACGAATCCATTTTCCAATAGCACTTGTAAATTTCCTGAAAAAAAAGACATTTAAAGCTACCACCGCTTGTTCATGATCTGGGCGCTATCTCCAAAAATAGTCAAGTTACAAAAAAAGTTCATAAGGCAAAGGTATATGTACTCTTATTTTGAACGAGTTTCCTAAGGTGAATTTGCTGAAAAAAGAGTAACATTGAAAACTACCCTAATTTGTTCATGAACTGGACGCTATCTCCAAAAATAATCAAGCTACAAAAAAAATTCATGAGGAAAAGTTGCTTGGCCATTTATTATGAAAAACCATACAGGTCAATATGCTGTAAAACACTTTTTGAAAACCACCCCAAAGGGCTCATGAAACGGCCGCTAAGTCGGGAAATATTAAAGTTATAAAAAAATCATTAGGCGAACTTATAGAGAATGTTCTTATGTACAATTTGCGTCTAATTATTTTGTTGTAGTAGTTTAAAAAAAAACACCCCTATTGCTCAAAAACTGCAAGGGGAAAATTTCCGATGTTGTTAATTTTACACTCAGAAGACAGTGACAAACTCTGAAAAAATCAGCTTGCCGTAATTTTTTTTTCACTCTCTATACGGCGATACAATTTTACTGGATTATAGTTTTATGCAAAGTATATACATCTGGCAATACATCGTGTCTGAACTTGAATGACAGTGACATTATTGTAATTCTTAGGAAGATAATTAAAAAATTGTATAGCTTGAGATAGTAAGTTATTAAATAATATACAGGGTATCCAGAAATGCATAGTTTTAAAGATATGGGATGTTAAAACTTTTGAGCGTGTACACAGGGGTTACAAAAAAAATGATCAACGAAGAAAAAAAAACAGTCACAAAGAAATGAATTGGATACATATAAAAATATCCCCTGTATTATCCTCTTATTAAAAAAACCCTGTATACATATTAAAATTATCAACGAAAAAAAAACGTTATCTAATCTTTTTCCATTTCTTAATTATCAAACACAAAAAAGTAGTATTAAAAAAATAAAATTAGGTGACCTAATTTTATTGCTGTTGTTTATTGTTATTTTATTATCCACTTAATTTCAATTAATTTCTTACTTTCTCTGTAGAACCAAAAAGCCAGAAAATTTCTCTAACATATTTAACAACAACGAATTTTCAGTTTAATGATCAAAATATCTTTAAACGCCCCAACGCACAGCCGTCAAACCATGTAACGACAATTTTAAATTATCTTCGTTACATTTAGGTCGAAGTACTCATCGGTACTCATCGACCATATGCTACTTGCGGAGGTAATGGCACAGATACTCGACACCGGCGTTTTATTATCATAACTGTGTTTATACCACGTTCTTCATTGATTGGTACGACCAAAAACAATTAAAAAATAACAAGAGAGAGAAGATTGGATATTATTAAATCCACATTCTTAATGATTTGTTCTCGATACGTACGCGTATGCTGTTAGGTTTTTGACTTTGATTTTTTCCTTTGTAATTATTTTTTTCAAAAGTGAAAACGTTTTGGACAATTATTGTTGTTTAAAGACGAGGTATGAGTGTTAGTATACTGCAAGAAGTTGATGAGGTCGAAACGATGGGTCACAAGTCGGTGATTTTTGTTGTTATTCTACTACTTTTTCATGTAAGTACCTAGAAATATACAGGGTGGGGCTGTTTACCGAAACAACATTCATATAACGCTTTCATTTTCAGTGGGATTTAGTTTGTACAAAATATACGAACAATGGTATAAGAAATTTTAAAAACATTTATATTTTTTTTTCAAATCCCGGTGTATAAAATGATTATCCCCAAAATATATAAAAATTTGAACGCACAATCTAAAATATTTCGACTTTATACACTTTAGTCTTTTTAAGATCATATTTTATTTATATTAAGTAGAACGTCAATATTTAAACAAAAATTGTATTTTTTTTTAATTACTAAATATGAATGTTACTTTGAGCTATTTTAATCAAACTTTTTTTTAATTTTCTTTCATATTTTTTCATATGTACAGGGTGGGTCAAATTCGACGCTTTTAAATGGAAACACCCTTTAGGAGATAGACAAAAACTAATATCGGTGTCTGGAGCTCAATTTTTGTCAAAAACATGATGGTGAAAACTGCATATCGATATCTGTTACCGTTTCGGAAAAATATCATATCTGTTACCGTTTTTCAAAAATATCGATATCTGTTACCGTTTTTTAAAAATATGCATTTTTAACAAATCGCTGTAACTTTTTTGCTATGGAAAATGTTGTATTTTTATGGAAACATTTCCAAAGCACCTTTTTACGTAGAATTTAATGGTTTAAGTATTTTTTTTTAAATTAATAATTTAAGAATTATCAACAGAAAATTTTATTTTTTATATGGGACACTTTGTATATTTTTAATTTACTGAAAAGAATTTAAAATTACCTTTCCAAAAATATAACACACTTGATATTTTGCTCGATTCCTCTTCGAGATATAGAATATATAAAAATTCGCCCGCTGTAAATAAGTAGGCTTTGAACGGCTTCTACCTGTGAGCATCAATTAAAACGAAAATAATATTTGCTATGAGAGATGCAGAATTGTATAACAATTTAAAATATATTTAACCAACATTAACACATTTAAACTATATCTAATAACAATAGAAATAAATAGCAAACAAAGACATGAGATTTTGCTACAGGTGTTCGACATATCGATCGTCTTCTGTTATGGACAGACAGGGCAGTTCTTGAATATTTCTCGCGGAATTCATTAACTCAGTGGGGGTGAAAGATACTCTCTCATAACTGCTAAGTATTTCTAATTTTTGTCTAGATTATACGGAAGCATAAGGAACCTTTATTCTTCCGCAAATATATCAGTAGGATTAGATCCATGGGCACTAAGTCAGGCGGCCTCGACGGCCAACGGCTGGGATCTTGGTTAGCTATACAATTATTTTTGAAATTGGCTGCAAAAATTTGCTGATAACTTCAGCGTTCAGAGGTGGTGCGTCGCCTTGCTGAAAAAATATGTTTTCGAGTTCCATTAAAGGCATATCATCAATAAGGGGTCCAAAGCCTACTAGTTAAAAGTGGCGAACTTTTAAAAATTCTGTATTTCGAAGGGGATTATAACAAAATATCAAGTGTGCTATATTTTTGGAAAGGTAATTTTAAATTCTTTTCAAATATAGAGTGTATCCCAAATAAAAATCAATTTTTCTGTTGATAACTCTTAAATTATTAATTTTAAAAAAATTATACTTAAACCATTCAATTCTACGTAAAAAGGTGCGTTGGAAATGTTTTCATAGAAATAGAAAATTTTCCATAGCAAAAAAGTTACAGCGATTTATTAAAAATGCACATTTTTGAAAAACACCTCGTAACTCCGAAACGGTAACAGATGTTGATGTGCGGTTTTTACCATCATGTTTTTGGTGAAAATTGAGCTCCAGACCCCGATATTAGTTTTCTTCTATCTCCTATAGAAAAGGGTGTTTCCATTTAAAAGCGTCGAATTTGACCCACCCTGTACATACAGGATGGTCGCAATTGGTCTGTTTTAACAGAGAAAACCTATTTCCTGACTAGATAGAGCAAAACCGACGTAGATCTCATGGGCTCGATTTCTGAGACACGTTTAATGTCATAAACCGCCTGTTGATATTTTCACTGCCAACTGAGATACGAGGTCTTTTTTAATTTTTACCATTTTGAAAATTACCCATAATTTTTTCATTTCGCGGAATAATAAAATTCTGTAAAGACGTTCTTAAGGCACTTTTTTAAGCACAATCCAGTGGCGTAGTCAGTTGTTTTCTATACTTGCTCTTTTTGTCAGAAATAATAAAAAATATAATTATTTAAATAGAATTCATAGTTAACCCTTTCAAACGATATAAAGTTATGGGTATTTATTTCTAAGAATGGAAGAAATATTAGAGTTTTTTATCTTTGTATCGAAGCGGGCTTTGATTTTGTGTTGACCTTATACCCAGTGGTAATTTACCCACCGCCCATCACTGCTCTAAATAGACAGATATATTTAATCTATGCAGACAGATACAAAAACAATGATTATTCAAAGTTTTTCTTTAATTTTCAGTCACTCGAAGCAAAAAAGAAGAAACAAAAACCTTCCTTTGTTAAAAATGTCACCACCTTTTTTACCGACATAGCAGAGCACTTAGGCGACGCTTGGGAAGCCCTAGTTGACTTTCTACCATCATACACTTCACAGAAACCATCAAAAAAGACAAAGAAAAAGAAGAAAGACACTTGGAGTGTTGATTCGGTCCTAAAACTGACCAAGGACAACTTCAAGTATCTTTATAATTCAGTGTTTGATACATGGAAATTATTTCCTGTTACAAGAACAAGGTCGATAGGGTATAGTGATGAAGAAGAGTTCAGGAAGAAAATCGAAGAGAATTATTACAGATGGCTGGACAAAAATTTGGTGGAAATGGAGCAAAATCAATCTAGAAAAAGAAGACAACATGAAATATAGAGTATATCTTAAAAACGTATATATTTTTTTTATTTTTTTTTACCCCAAAGTACCTTGGACAAAAATATAAGTACAAGTATAGTAAATAGTAGGTATATAAAACATAGATAAATGCAACAAGTTTAGATTGGAAAGCCCGTAAAAATGTTAGGTCGCGAAATTATTTTGGGTCGCGACCGTTATATGCGATCTGGCGCTGCTACAGCGGTCGCTAAGAACAACGGCAAACAAAAACAGAAGTAATTTTCTCTTGTCAAAGTCAGAATCTTCAAAAATCATAATAAGCTTTCAAAATCTAAACCGCTCTCATTAAAGAAATTCCGAAAAGTGTTTATAGTGTCCATTTTCAAAGTAATTATTGCTATCTTGTGAGTTTAATTCAAGTTTTATTTACTCCAACCGGTGATAATTGTGAAAAAGTGGCATTAATAACTTAAAAAGCTGTGCTGTGAACTGTGAACTGCAAAAACCATCGTGGATCGTGGCATAACGTCAGTTTGCAATGTTTCATAGGTATTTCATACATGCGTCCTTATATAAAATAAAGTTTGTTGTACGCAACACACTGTATTTTATTTATAAAATTAAACGAAAATAATAGTAAATTTGAATAAACAATATTTGGCGATATAATTCCGGAAAAAGCCGAACCGCTCCGAAATTTTCAAAAGTTTTGGGTCGCGACCGTTGCAAGAATAGCGCCAAATAGTGTTTATATTGTCCTTATGGGCACTTTCCAATCTAAACTTGTTTCATTTATCTATGATATAAAACTTTTGTGAAGACAATTTTCTTACCTGTGCGTGATTGGCATTGATACTTGGAATTCTAGATGGCGTGTGCTCTGTGGAACTACCACGATCCTCGGCCTCTAAAGACCATGCGCTGATGGTCAGAAAACCGGCAGTTGTGTTTTGTCTGGACATCAGGGGAATTCTTAACCTAAAACATCAGAAATTATTAAATTAATTAAAAAATAGTAAACTGTTTTATCAGGAGTAAAATGACACTTTTTCTGGCGAGGCTGTACGTTTGACTTGGAGACAACTTGACACAATGTCATTTTATTTAATGACATACAGGCGAGCCACAAAATGTCATTTTTACTCCGAATAGAACATGCTATTTTTTTTCAAACGTTCCAAGTAATAAGTAATTAATTATATATCGAGAAACTATGGTTACACTCGTTGAATTTGACACTTTATGTCAGTTTAATAATATATTTTCGTACTTTTGAGCTTAGGGGTAAAAGTGCTTTATTTTTATGCCTAGGCGTTAAAATTGCATTTTTATATTGTCAATCATGTCGCAAAATTTAATACTTCAGTGACGTTTGAAAAAAAAATCATTTTTTGAAAATTTTTCAAAATATTTAAACTTGGTGTGTAGACGTAGATCTTTTTCACTTTTTTTGGATATTTTGTCATCTAACCCTACTTTTTGCAGATGTAAAAAGGACGTTTTTAATTATCGTACACATCCCTAATCTAAGGTTAATTTCTTACCTAGTGGAATCTTGTATGGCGCTCAAAAGAACACAGGAAGAGCCTAAGGGTATGGCCGTGTGTGACACTCGTTCCTGCACGTCAAAAACCGTGAACCTCACACGCGATTCACCTGACAAACCATCGGATGATCTAAAACTCACTGTCCTCAAAAATTGAGGATTACTGCTTTTCTGAAAAAAATAAAAAAAAAACGTATTTTTCTGCGTGATTAAAATTCACCACATAAAAAATACAAATGTACTAAAAAAATAAATCAAGTACTTAAATAACCTAATTTCAATTTTTACATACTTTGGATAGCTTACAATCAGTTGTTACTGTCAAAAAAGTCAATAATACACTAAACAAAGAGAGTAGTTCAAATCAACCACCTAATGTATTGACGCAAAATCTATGAATAGCAGCATAAATACGTCGATAACACATTATAAATTCAAAGAATGTGCATTCGTTGATAATATATAAGTATGGAAATGGATTCAGACACGTAAAAATATACAGGGTGACACAGTGTTCTGAAAAAATAATATATCAGATTCAATATTTAATATTTTCAATAATCTTCTTTTTTTTATAAATAAAAGTAAGTTTTAGTAAGTAAGTAGTAAGGTCATGATAGTAAAGTTGAGCATTTTTATAAAATATAATCAGAGATATACAGGGTCACTGAAATATATTTTTCCACTGAAGTTGTAGTTTTTTAAATTTGATGCTGTATATCTTTTGCTCAGTGAATTTATTATAAAATTTCCGTTTCTAAAATACCATACAATCGAAAAAAAAAAACGGCGTCAAAAACAGCTGGGGAATGACAATCGATAATAATTTTGGTGAGGTCAAGCCCTAGACGTCTTAACGCCTTTTCTATCACACGGTACTATGTTATAATACTTAATAAATAGGAATCCTGATACATAGTATTTTTCGGGGTCGCCCTGTGGATAAATATATGAAAAAAACTTCTATATGGATTTTATAAAATGTACCTCAATAATTTCGGTTCTTCCGTATTGAACCCACAACTTCTGCTCTGGCATATAAATATCTACAGCTAACGAAGGATTTGGGGGTCTACCATGGCCGTCGCAAAGCAAATTATCGCAGGACATCGAAATCTCATACAGAGGTACTTCATTAACATCTGTAAATAATAATATATTGATTATTTACATCATTCTGATAAACATCAAATTTTTGATCATATTTCTTACAAAAATATCGTTCCATTTACGTAAAAAAAAACGTCGTAAATGTATATTTTTTACTCAGTAGTTTTATACAGGTACGGACGAAAAGCTATTAGTCTTCAAACCAGTTAAAAAATATGTAGGTGGCGCCCTCTACAAGTAGGAGTCATATTGACAACAAAATCAAATTTCTCATGCCAAAAAACTCCCAGACACCAATTTTCATCCAAATATTGACGTTACCTCAGAAATGAATTAGAAAAAATCGAAATAAAAATGATACTTCTACACCCTGTATCTCCGAAACTAAGCATTTTAGGACATACATTTATAGGAACTTTTTTACTTATTTTTATCGGCAGAATATATGTTGCCGAAGTTTCCGGAATACAGTTCGGGCCACCCTGTATAATAAACAAATAAAACTAGATGATGTAAATTACGTTGGATTTTCCAAATCAATATAAAATATTTTTTACCGTTTTTACGTACCTAGAGTGCAATTCTGTTGTAATCTCCACGTTGCCAAATCTACATTCGGCTTAGAATTCCTCTTCCTCTCTATGCACTGTCTTAAAGCGTTCAATTCCGCCCTAACCCCTTCGTAACTGGCACATTTTATCGCGTCTATCCAGCTGGACCGTTCCATTTCCGACGTAGAAGCCAATGCCTGGCACAGACCACCGTCAAACACTAGCAAAAATAAACGAAAGTTTAGTTACTTTAATATATAAAGACTTACATATACGTCGATCGATTTCGGAAAGTTTTGCCCGCCCGTGTAAAAAATTAACAGCGAAAAATTGACAGAAAAAACAACTTAGCTTGGAACCTGAACCTTGTTTTCCCTGTCAAAATTCTAACGATAAACAGACTATACGTCCACACACTAGAGATTTTTTCCGCGCAAAACTTACAAAAAAGAACGCCGTCTAGGAGATACTTTATACGCGCCAATAATAATTTTAAACACACATGTTGACGTTCAAAAAATCGGTGAAAAGGCTTGAGAATAGTGAGAAAAATGTGTTTTATGTGTATATTTTTATAGAAAACGAAGTAGAGTGAGAAATATTTATTAGTTTTGGAGTCACGAACGCGTCATTACAATTTCAAATAAGCTGGAGAGATTAACCGCAAAACGCGTCTACTTTATATCCTTGTTTATTGTTTGTTTATAAATTTAAGATATGGCGCAACAAAATATATGATTTTTATGATTAATTATTTAAAATTATGTAACGTAAGATTATAGCTAATGTTTTTTTTGTAGTTAATTAGCATATTTGTAAATTTAAAACTTCTGTTACTACAAATAAACAAAATAAAAATAAATAAAACTCTTTATTTTGATAAACATTTAGATTAGAGAAAAAATGGTAATTTTTAACCAAAGATTTTTTGAAAAACACCAAAGTCAAATTTTAAACAAAACAAATAGTTCAGTCATTGGGGATCAAAAAAGGAGCCTGCTTGGAAAAAAGTCCGGAAGTTTTGAAACTTTGCAGGTTTATAGGTTTTGGGGTCCCTAACTAAAACCCTTGTATATGAATTTTTAAAGTAGCTCAACCTAAGATGTTTATGGATGTAAAGCACCAGATGGCGGGGCGTATTTCACAGTCTTTTACTACAGAAAAATATTTTTTGTTACTCTGAATTTTGAAGCGACCAATAAAAACAGAGAAAATAAAAATCGATAATTTTCGGACTGTGCCAATTGGTTACTAATCGACCAGATACTTTTTGTCTATTAGATATGCTATAAGAGCTGGTAATTATACAATTCGACCATTGTAAATACCCGAAAAATTTCGCAAGGCCGACGAGGCCGATGCTTTTCACTGATAAGAATAAAAAATGTTTGTTTAGATAATTTTCGAGATATTTTTTCTTTCTGAATGCACATTTTTAAAGTATTTTATATTCTTTGTCCGCTTGATCTATTATACTGGTTGCACGTATCGAGGTTCAGTTTCTTCTAGTTTTAAAAAATGTTCTTATTTCTTTGTAGTTGTAGTGGTTGTAGTGTAAAATTAGATTAATTTTATTAAGTTTAATTATAATGTTTAGTGTAGAATACCAGAAATAGTTTAGTAGTGTTTTTATAGTTTATTATTTTGCAATTAAGTAGTAGGTGAAAGGATAATTTGGTTATTTTTGTTTGATTAATTAGTAAGTTTGATACTTTTTTCAGTGTAGAAGTGGTTGAAGTAGTGAAGAAGTAGTTGTGTAGTATATTATATTAGTTTACTTTGTAGATGAGTAGTAGGTGAAGGTATTTGGGTATTTTTTCTTTTTGTTTTTCTTCTAATTGTAGTAATTCTATTAAGTATTGTGATAGATATACTATATCTTCCTTCAACTTCGTTGAAAAGTGCGTTATCATATAATTTTGGTTTTCTGGTAGTAGAATATACGAAGAAAAAATCTGATCAAATTTATTTTAAATTAAATTAATCGAGTTTTATTAATCAAATTAATCTAGTCAAATAATAATAATAGTTAGTTTCTAAATACTAAACAGGGTGAGTTTCCTACGATGTTCTTTATGGGTATCTCGGAAACTACTGGAGATAGAGTCGGTTAAATGGGGAAAAAATTGCAGTTTTGTGGGGTCATAAATATGCGCCTTTCGGATTTTCGGAGAAATTCAAGGCTTACTAGATATTTGGAAAAAAACAAATTTTTGCTATTTTAAAACTTTGTCTCTAATTCCATTATAATCTACCGTATGATCGAATAAAAACGCCAACGATGGCTATGAAATGGAGATCGCTGTCATTTTATACCTATGTAAAATTATATGGGAAATATCATAGATCGTCATTTCATAGCCATCGCTGAAGCCGTTTTTATTCGATCATACGGTACTTTAGACAAAAACTTTTCAGATAAAAGTTGTAGATAATCACATACCTAATGAGTTTGTGTTTTCTGTTTTTTTTTTCTAAAGCCTGTCATTTTTGACATATGACACAAACATTATGTTTTTTTTTAAATGGAAACCATAGTTGGCCATGACTTCATAAAAAGCGCCATTTTTTAAGCTTTTCAGCGATATAGGTATAATATTTTTTTCGAAAAATTACAAGTTATAGCCAATTCTTTTCTTTCTTGGCTAATTTCCATACCAATAATACCATGCCAATTAGTTGGCATCAAAAATGTAAAAGTTTCATGTTTTCAAAAAAATATCATAAAATTCGTAAAGCACTCAATTTAGAATAAAATAATCTAAGAATGAAATGGTTCTTTTATAAACCTGCATTAAATCAAATTAAAATAGGTATGTAACTTTTTTTAAATATTAATTAACAGCAATTAGCATTATCATAAATTATAAATAATGTACCAACATATCGAAATAATAATTTCTTTGTTAATACGGTTTAGAATTCTTAAAATAACAGGCAAAAATAATCCACAATTTACAATAAAATAAAAGTTTCGTTTAAATTTCTTAATCAGCTGATCACTATTAAAGTTCGCAGAAACCCGGGGCTATATTATTACATTACTCTGAGGAAAATAACGAAAATAATCGATATTTTTGACTCCGCCCCGATAGGTTCACGATTTGTCCTCCTGTTGGCAGCACATTTTGTCTAGTCGGTTGGGCAACTTTAAGAATATATAAACAAGACTAAAACCCATAAAATGTACATTTCCAGACTTGCCGCCGGCGCCGCCACCTTACCAAGATGGCGCCCAAAATCGGTATTTTGTGAATATCTCGAAAACTATGCGTTTTTCGCAATAATTTGAGGAGAGCAAAATTAAAGAGAATAAAATTTCCTATAAAAAAGGTTTTATGAAGATTTTCGCTAAAGTCAACCGTTTAGGCACAAAATCCCTGGAAATTTTACAATTTTGCGTAAAATATGATATATTATGTATAGTCGATTTTCCGAAATCGAATATCGATTAGGGTTCACTAAAACTAGTTTTAGTTTAGTTTCTTCAATTTTGTCATGAAACAGTGGCGCGAGGGGTAAACCGCAGAGGAATTATGGTGTACACTATGAAGGAATTCTACAGGAATTCCAAGGAATTACCAGGAATTCCAAGGAATTCCATAGAAATTACTAGGAATTCCAATTATTTCCGTAAGAATTCCAATGAATTCCAAGGAATTCCTTAGAAATTTAGAGGAATTCCACAGGAATTAAGAGGAATTACAAGCAACTTTATAAAAAATTAACGAACATTAGTAAACCATGAATACTATAATAGGTAGTACTAAATTTAAAGAAAAACGTTTTGCAGGCGATTTTTTACTATCCGTTTTTCGTTTTCGCTTCCAAAATTTCCCAATATCAAATATCTACAGGTTAGATATTCTTTTAATTTAATATTGTACCCTCGATTATATATCTAAAATATTTTCCAATAGTACGGCCGAACCACCCCCGAGAGATCTACTTATAACGTTCCCTGATTTCGCCATTTTAAAGAAACCCTCATAAGATTTTTTTATTCAGTACTCCAGAAAGTGTAAAGTTGATTTTTTCATTTCCTCGGAATAATACCTAGGTATATACTATAGGGAAATTAATACAACTTTAGGTGCACTTCATCAATGATACCATGCGTAATCTTATGGAATTTACTGGTGATCGTATTATGACGTGCAACTGAAGTTTTATTAATTTCCTTTCCTATAGATACGAGTATAACTAGGTACCTATCATTTTCAAAAAATCCCGAGAAAAATAATTTTAATAAGTAAGTGCCGACATATTTCCAGTATTTTATCTCATGATCCCCTATTAGTCCTAAAATTTAACTAAAAAACGTAAATCTCGTAATAGTACTTTTTATTGTTAATCTAGTACTTATAGAGACATTACACATTTATAAAAATCACCAGAAAATTCATAGCGGAACTGCGAAACCGAGGTGGCAACGCTGGTTCAGACTGAAAGAGTTACCGAGTTCGTACCAATGAATTCCAAGGAAGACCTTGAATGATTGACCTTGACCCTGAAGACCAGGAATTCCAAGGAATTCCGAAGGAATTACGAGGAATTCTGAGGAATTATTTGAGTAAAAGGAATTACGGTGTACACTTTTCCCTCTGCGGTTTACCCCTCGCAGTGGCGTATCATTAATACGCTCATTAATTTATGAATAAAATTGTCGTGCTGGACAGCATTCATTGCGAACTTACCACCAGGTTCAGCATTGGTCTGGTTGTACCAAAGATGCTGAAGAATGGGGTCGGAAGAAAACAAAAACAGGCATTACTCCAGTCACAACGTTGAAAGATCCAGCTCCAAAATCCCTGTTGGCATTTTTATCCTGTAAATGCAAAACCAACAACTATGGTAAAGCCTGCGGATGCAGAAAAGCACGATTAAAATGTTCAATGATTTGTGCATACTGAAATGGAAAATCCTGTGACAACGTCACTGAAGTGTCACTCGACGAATCCGATGAAGAGGAGTTGGACTTGCCTGTAGATATCCCTCTGGTGGGTGAAGATGAAGAGTTGGACGTATTGAGAGACCACCCTGATGAGCCCAGCACAGCAGACACGATCGACTTTGACATCAATGGGCTTGTGCAGATAAGTTAAAGTTTTAAATTTATCTAGTGGAGTAGGCCTCCGGGGAGACCACGTTAAAATAAACGCGCCATATACTTTACCTCTTGGGTGGTGTGGAAACAAGTACGCATTATCAATAATCAAAATTAATTATTCATAAATTAATGGGCGAATTAATGATACGCCACTGTTTTATGACAAAATTAAAGAAACTAAACTAAAACTAGTTTTAGTGAACCCTAATCGACATTTGATTTCGGAAAACCGACTATACATAATATATCATATTTTACGCAAAATTGTAAAATTTCCAGTGATTTTGTGCCTAAACGGTTGACTTTAGCGAAAATTTTCATAAAACCTTTTTTATAGGAAATTTTATTCTCTTTAATTTTGTTCTTCTCAAATTTTTGCGAAAAATGCATAGTTTTCGAGATATTCACAAAATACCGATTTTGGGCGCCATCTTGGCCGGCGGCAAGTCTGGAAATGTGCATTTTATGGATTTTAGTTAGGGACCTCAAAACCTATAAACCTGCAAAGTTGCAACACTTCCGGACTTTTTTCCAAGCAAATATCCCCAACGACTGAACTAAAAGTAATAAAAAAAACTCTGAGACTATAAATGAAAACATATATATGAAAACGAATACATTATATTGATATTTTTGACCTTACCTAAATAAAATGGATAATGCCCATCGTTAGTCAGTGGCGGCGAGGCCATGGGCGGATCTATCCTCACCTGGCATTGTTCCAGAACAACCACCCCCAACGGTTCCGACCATGGGTCCTTACTTTTAAAATAAAATAACAAATTGCCCCTCAGCCGACACCAGCGTTCCAAATTTACTAAAAAAATAAGGACATATGCTTTGCAAAAAATTATTCACCGTATAAAATAAGCTATAAATGGGTAAAATAAGCAATAAAGCCGGTGATTGCATACGTACAAGTTATTTAAACATAATATTTGAAAAACGTACTATAGTTACACAGAAATCTCTCCTAGACTGAAGATTATTTTTAGAAATTACTGCTTTTTTTAAGTAACGGTTCAAGGAAATTCTATAGAATTCAATGAAATTGAAATATGATATTATTATTTTTCTTGAACCAAAAATATTAAACGTTTTAAAAAGGATTTACATTTTTGTTCAAAATAAGATTAGTTCTTAACTTTGAACTATAATGGTTCAAAAATTTATGATTCAAACTATCTTGAATACCCTGTATATAAGTACACGTACAGAAATGTGTGATCAAATAAAAATGACGTCGTACTAAGCGCACAAATATCATTTCTCTGTTCAAACCTTACTATATCTATCGCAAGTTTTTGAAAATGGCATTCGGCGATCTTAATGTTTGACAAGTTTTATGTCAATTTTTAGTAAACGACGTCTAGAGATTGATCTCGCCAAAATTACTATCGATTGTCATTACTCAGCCGTTTTTTTTCAATCATACGATATATTTTTAAACTAAATTTAGTATTTCTTTATTAATTAATTAGTTATACCATATGATCGGAAAAAACGGCCGTCCAGTTGGCTTGGAAATGACGATCGATGACATTCCCCATATAATTTTACATATAAAATGACAGCGAACTTCATTTGTCAAAAATTGACATATGATATGTCATTCAGGGTGTTATTTTCTATCGAATAAAGTAGAAGTATACCGAGGGTGCCATTTAAAAATCAAAAGTTGTAGTCATTTCCGGCGAAACAGGAAGTGACCAAAAACAATTGAATACGTCAATCAATCCTAATTTATGTCATATATTAACATACCAAATCTCGTTTTTTTTATCTTAAAAAATAAAAAAGTTATAGACGTGAGCCCCTTTTGGGACGCACCCGGTATATCTATAAAAATATACTTATTTTTTTAAATAAACCATGATTTGTCTTTTCAAATTTATTTCACTATAGTATGCGTTTTTTGTAAAAAAGTGACATACCTACTGCACAAAATTTATTAAAACAGGATATCTGATTTTCTTTATTTTAGGCACATTGGGCCACCCTGTATAGAAATGATAGTTCCCACACAAACAGCAAATATTTTAAATATTATTTATATTTATTATACTAAATATTGAACCAGGTTTACAAAAAAAATTACTAGCTGTCACTGCCATTGTCAAAAATTTACATAATGACAGGAAAGCTTGAATGTAAATGTGTAAATGCCATTATTAAGCTTACTATAACATCGTTTTCACTCAATCACACGGTGTATTATTAAAAAAAATATATTTAGTTGAAACTTTATATATTTCATCTTATTATTTACTAAATTAATGAAATAATAATATAAATACATTTATTTTCAGTGACACAGTGTAACAAATGTGCAAACTATTAAAACCAATTAAAACCCTTGAGCTGATTTAACAATAAACAATAAGCAACAATAATTGTTAGTATTGTTAGGTGTTAAAGAAATTATTAAGTTAGTGTGTGATTGTGTTAGAATGGTTAAATTTTACCAGTATACTTAGAGGTAACTAAATTTTAGCATAATGATCAAGCTGGACCTTATAATTTTTGATCGCATTGTATTTCTGGATAAAGCTGGATAATATCTAAGTAAACCGGTAAATTTTGTTGTTAAGTGCCTTTTGATTTAATACCTCTAGTTATTCCCCCCACACAACTCAAGTTTCTAAGTCTTTTTTCGTGTTTCTCCATTTTGCTTCGCTTGCCTCCTGTAATAACACATTGAAAACAAAAAGAAAAAAAAAATCATAGGAAAATAAATAAATAAACAAAAGAATATATACAATAAATACAAAAGATTATATTAAAGTGGTGACATAATAAGTTAAATATGTAATAGATCTATGTGTGGCTTAAATCAGTATATTATAAACGAATATCAAATATTTAAACAGATGTCTCGTTAAACCACGAAGTTTGTTAAAAAAATAGATGACATGAGCATGCAGGAGAAGATTATAAAGTTAGAAAACATATTTTCTACATGCTCCACAGATGAAATCAAATATGACACCTGGGTAAAAACAAAGCCAAGTTGATATATTTACATACAACACAAATCTTAGCTCATGATTTATTTAAGTGGCTTGAATAAAACAATTGACAACTAACATAAATCATCTAAGGTGACTAACACTCTACTTACTTTCAGACTTTCGAAAAAACCCTTCCTGTCGTTCTCTTATGTACAAGATGCCTTCTTTCTCGAATTTTGTGGAAGGCTGCATAGCTAATGTGACCAGTTCTTGTTTGTTGAAACGCATCGTAATTTGAAGCACGTATACACATATAATAGCAATCCACAATTACTAAAAATTATAATCTTTAAGCAAGTGATTTTGAAATATCTCAGATAAGAAAATTTGTGTGGGTTAAGTTCAAGTAGGCTGAGGAATCATATAGCTTAGCATAATCTCTTATATTGCTAATGAACAGTTATGTAATTTTCGTAAACAAAAGTTTTATGTTAATGAATACTTAATAATTCCTGTATTGTCTGGGACAGCCGTTATTTTTTTATTAACTGTAAAATGTTTTCTCACACACGTTGCTCACCTTCAATAACACTAAAAATAACAATGGCACGCATAAAATACACAAATATAATTTAGAATCACATTATAATCAACTTAAAGATTATTAAAATATAAAATAAATATAAAGATCACCATAATTTACTTTTTGACATAGAAAACAGACGGTGAAACGTCAACAAATGACCTAATTATCGCGATTTATATCAAAACTTTTTTCTTTTTATCCTCTGAAGTTAGCTGGATATAACTGAAAATCAATCAAAATCAATCTGTGGTGAAATTATTATCACTATTATTATTACAAGAAATGTCAAAAGAAAACAACAAACATCTGCATCGGTATTTTTAAAATATTAAATATTCGAAGAACAATTTTTTTATACGTTTATAATATGTAAAAAAGTGTTTTAAAATTGCACAAAATGTCAGACCATCAAAACGAAAGTTCTGGCCAAGATACAGGTTTGATATTAAAGATTTATTTAATTAGGGTGTATCAGTCTTAAAATAATTGTGATCCAATTATGCTTTTTAAGTCAGGAAGCTTAAGAAATGCATGTTGTTCTAAATCAGGGAATGTAATGTACATTATAAGTTCTTTGTGTGTCTTTGTAGTTGCTGAACGAACAGAAATTCTAAAAAAAATAGTAAAATTGTTCAATTTTAGATCTTGTATCCAATGATTCGGATGTGGAAGGTTCACAAAGTGTATGCTCTGATACACATTCTGATAACACATCAACGTCAGCACATACTGAAAAAAGTACACTATCCGAATCCACTATTCATGCACTGAGTGGAGGCAGTGATGCTGAACATATTGCTGCCTTGCCAAATCTATCGTTAGGTAAGTGATGATACTATGAAGTAATCAATTGTAAATATTTACTTTAAACAAACATGGTTGCTTATGTCCCTAACTGAACAAATTTTAATGTCTTTTTTTGTATTTAATGTCATTTAATCAGATCTTGTGAAGTACCAACATATTTATTTATTTCCTGTAATTTATAACTTTTTATTTGATGTAATCTTATCTTTCTGATATAGTAGCAAAACATTTTTAGTTTTCTGCTAGTTTTTTATCTTGTCTAATTAAAAAAGATAAGCTATCTTTAATCGTGATTTTAACACAGGCACAATTACTTGTAAATCTAATTTGACTTAATCTTTTGATCAATTTATATTGGCTGACAGTTATATTTCTGCAACAGGCTTCAGTACATTTATTGTTTTGTTCAAAATGTTTATTATTGCTTTGTTAGTTGTGTTGTTTTTGTAATTTTGTGGTGATTTTAATGAATTTAAAAAATGTTTGGGAGAACATTGTGGGGTAATTTTTTACCAAGAACTTATAATATTGCTCAGACTGAACACAAAGGTATTTATGATTGTCATTTATATATAAATAAACTGATTAATATATGGTCTATAGTTTTATATAAGTTTAGTATCTCTATTACATACCAATCATGTGTTTACTGTTTTCAAATAAGAATATGTTGTTGTTATGTTATTGATATCTTAATTTTGATATTGTCATCATTTTCAGCTTATTCAACCATTTCCCATTATGGTGTAGCCTCTCTTATCCTTATAATTTTTCCCATTATTGGCTATCGAGGCTCCAAGTTATCCCTGCTAATTTCCTAATATCATGGCCCCATTTTATGTTTGGCTTCTTCATGCATAGGTCATGAGTGGTAGTATACATTGATTCAATGTTTGCTTCTTTAGATAAAGTGGCTTTCTACATACTAACTGATTTCTTCTGTTGATTTTTGGTAGTAGAGATCCTGAGGTTTGTATTAGATGTCCCAATAATATATACTCTACTATCCCAGTGTTTTGTTACTTATTAGAATGTCTTTTCTGTCTCCCAGTTTGTTGTACATTACTTTAGTTTTTGCTAAATTCATTTTGAGACTGACTTCATTGCTGGTTGTATTTAAGCTTGTAGTTTTTCTGGACTATTAGTTGAAAGAAAATTTATTCTAGTATTGCTGTAAACAGCTTTTGGGGTACCGCGTCTCCCTGTCGTACTCCTTTGCCAGTTGTGAATTCTGGGGTTGTTTTATATATCATTACTTTTGCTGTGATAGTGTATACATATATTAATGTTTTTTAGAGAAAAAAATTACAAACATCTCTGCTATAAATCGGAGCATGTTCTTACCATGGGGCGCCCAGAAAGACAGGGTTGTGGCACATTTAATTTTCGTACAGAACACAGAAGGCGAAACAAGACCTGGCGAGTTTGTTATGAGAAATTTGTTTCAAGAATTTACTATTTTGGCTGAAAAGAAAATAGAAAATGTCATGTTAGAATCTCAAGTATGCTATCAAGCTTGTGTCTAGGTTAATTTTGATAAATAAAAATGATTTTTATAGGAAAAACCACTTTCTAAGACACTACAGAGGGGCGAAGATGCACAATTTGATCAGCTTTTAAGTGCTTTTGGTTCTGTAGCTGAGCATTGTTTGCCTTCATTGCTGAGAGCGTTGTTCTCGTGGTATGAGAGACAAATGGCAGAAGCATCAAATCCAGAGCAAAAAAAAAGTGACATCAAGCAAAAAAGGTAGCAATTATGTGACTGCCTCAAATATACAGGGTTATTCACCTCATTTGACTCGGAATATTGTAGCCCAAAGGTTATTTTCACAAATTGTAAGTTTTGGATTCCTTGAAGGACTATTAGAGCTACAATTTAAAAATATTTTTACGAGATACAGAGTGTCCCAAATAAATCGAAAATATCAAAGATGTATTTTTTTAAATTGAACCCTGTATATTATTACATTTTTAGTTTCTACAATTAAAATAAAGATGAATTTGATTAAGATTTATCTTAGCTACATCTTACCGTTTTTGAAATATTCACGATTTTGTGAAAATGCAGTAAAAAATTAATTGCTTTATTTCTCTAGGCGTGTTTAGGTTTTTAAAACCAAATATTGTACTGAAGTTTTTCTATTTTCTAAACTTTGTGTTGCAATAATAAAAATAATACTACCTTATACAGGGTGTTTAAAAATGTATTTTAAATAATTACTAGTTTTAAACGGCAATAACTTCTTTAATTTAAATAGAACACCCTCTATATTTTACGTGAATCAGATGCACAATTTAATTTTCTGTCAAATTGTTTTATACCATTTTGTACCTATATCTTGAAGTATTCGTAGAATATGCATTTTCTTATAATTTAGAACCTCGTTTATCAATATACCCATGGAATATTGACATTTTAGATATTTTTTAAAAAGTAACAAATATACAAATGTACAGATGCTAAAAACGATAATATTGCTAGGCCATTTGTTTGTAAAATAACTATTTAAATCTTTGTAAAAGAGTATACCATTAATAATTAAATATAGTACCAATATTTCTGCCCAAATATTGATTAATTACATACTTAATTGTGAACGTGAACGTCTCTGTTGTTATAAATAAGCATTCGTCATAAAATGACATAAAATTTATGTGTTACTTTTTATTACATTGTCTAATACACATACAAAATTCATTTTTTTTAGTATTTGGAACAATTATTTATCAAGGCAAATAGTCAATTAATGTACCTAGTGTTTGAAAATTTGTTACATGTTTAAAAGTTATATAAAATGTAAATATTCCATGGTACCTTAATCAAATTTATCTTTATTTTAATCGCAGGAACCAAAAATGTAGTAATATACAGGGTGTTCCATTTAAAAAAATACAACTTTGATATTTTTATTTATTTAGGACAATACCCTTTGCAAATACCTTTAAATTGTGGCTCTAATAGCCCTATAAGGAACCCAAAATTTACAATGTGTAAAAATCTAATCGTTTGACTACAATACTCCGTGAAAAATGAAGTGAATAACCCTATATTTACTAACACTTCTTTGCAGTATAATAAACATTGTGGCTGGTAATACAACAGAAACACCAGAAAGATCCGAGGCAGACATACAGAAAGAGAAGAGGGACCTAGCTGTGGAATTTATTTTTTGTTTAGTATTAATAGAGGTTCTTAAACAACTCTCATTCCATCCTGGTCACGAAGATCTAGTCCAGTACATCGAGAATTTAGCCCTAAAGCATTTTAAACATCAGGAAGGGTCAGAGAGTTTAATAACGAAGAAATAACTTAAAAGTTACGAATCTTTTATTAATTTTCAGGATTCAAAACAATCCAAACAGCGCAAACATCCATATGATATGCGATCTGTATGCTGAGGTGATTGGTGCTTTAGCACAAAGTCGTTTTATGTCGGTTCGTACGAGGTTTATGGCAGAATTAAAAGAATTGAGGTCAAGGGAATCCAGTCCTGCTACTACTCAGAGTATTATAAGTCTTCTGATGGGGATGAAGTTCTTCAGGGTGAAGATGGTGCCCATTGAAGAGTTTGAGGCTTCTTTCCAGTTCATGCAGGAGTGTGCTCAGTATTTTCTGGAGGTGAAGGAGAAGGATATCAAGCATGCTTTGGCCGGCTTGTTTGTGGAGATTTTGGTACCTGTAGCAGCGGTAAGTGCTAGGTTAGGAAGGAAAAATGAATATTAAATGAATTTATTCTAGTAAATTTGATATCTGATGAAATATGCGCAATCTGAATTTGTTTTTTAAGTATATTTATACTTACTTTCGCAATTTTCAAACTGAAAAATGGTTCAATACATAGTATACCTTTTTCTATGTGTCATTAGTAGTATATTTTATATTTTATTTGTCAATCTTCCAGCTGATAAAATTATATAAATAAAATATTTATTTTAGAGAAACTTAGGTCATATAACATCTAGATACGCTCGTTTGGCAGGTATTTTGTTGCCAATATATTGCTATGACATCATTTCGGGGCAAAATAGTTTTTCAGATAGCTATTTTTGATGGTTTGTAATAAATATAATAAAATATGTGTTATGTTTTAGTAAAAATAGTCTTTCATTGGTAGTAAATATTTTTTTAGTGGATATTTTTTAAATTTTTGCTTTTTAAAAGAAGTTAGATCATAAAATGTATAGATGCTCTCTTTCAGCAGGTTTTTTTGTTGCCAACATATTGCTATGACGTCATTTCAGGGCAAGATTATTTTTGTTATTGTTTTATTAAATAGTTAGATAGCTATTTTTGATGGTTTGTTATAAATATAATAAATATGTGTTCTATTTTAGTAAAAATCATTTTAGTGGATATTTTTTAAATTTCTGCTTTTTAAAAGAAGTTAGATCAAAAAATGTATAGATGCTCTCTCAGCAGGTCTTTTGTTGCCAACATGATAATATGACGTCATATCAAAATAATAAATTCATATTTTTTCTTAAAAAATAAATAGCTATGTTTGATGATTTAATTTCAAGTTAAATAAAATATGTACTACATCACTCTGGGTACAAACTATATTTTTTTTCTGTGGGTTATTATCGGTAAATTAATAATTTTGCTTGCGATAAAGAAAACTTTGATCATAAAACACCTAGATATGTTTCTTCGTCGAGTATTTTCTTGTCGAAATAATATTGTGACGTCATTTCAAGGCAAAATCAAGTATTAAGATTTGGTACAAATATCTATATTTTATATCATAAAATTCTGAAAACAAAAAAACCTAGATGTCATGTGACAACTGTCAAATTATAAATTTGCATTTCAGATATTTAAAAATGGGATTATATAACAAGATATTGCAAAATATAAAAGATAAAACTTGTTTAGAACTGTTTAATAATTTTTAATATTTTACGATGACTTTAAAAGTCAGTTTTTATTCATTTTGCTGAATGATTAACACATAAAAATAAGTTTCTCTGCGATTTTTCTGTATATCTTGTCATGTAACCTCACGTTTTACATTTTAATCAGTTTTAAGAAGGGTTAGAGGTACTCCTACAATTTTATTTTTAACTTTAGGCTGTGAAAAACGAGGTAAACGTTCCCTGCTTGAAAAACTTTGTAGAAATGCTGTACTCCCAAACGGTAGATGCCAGTACTAAGGCTAAACATCGTCTAGCTTTATTCCCTTTGGTCACCTGTTTACTTTGTGTCAGTCAAAAAACGTTTTTTCTACAAAACTGGCACTATTTCCTAGCTATGTGCCTATCCCACTTGAAAAATAGGGACCCTAAAATGTGCAGAGTTGCATTAGGTGAGATTATGGTACTATACCCTAGATCAATATAATATACTTTGTGGATACTGCTATACCTCAAAATTTCTATAATAACTATGTTGCTACATGTTTATATCAGTTATTAAAAATGTGTTATTTCTGTATTGTATTTTTGTATCTAACAAAAAATATTTTTACAGCTTTATCCATGAAAGTATATATATTTTGAGGTTAATATTCTCTCAGAACACTAAAGTTTTTAACATCCTGTCTTTTAGAATCACTCTATCGACTGCTGTGGGTCTACATGATCCGAATAAAATGCGAAAGCAACTCTGCCACCCAGTCTCGTCTTCAAAGCATCGTAAACTCTTTATTTCCCAAAGGATCCAAAGGCGTAGTCCCTCGGGACACTCCTTTGAACATTTTCGTCAAAATAATCCAGTTTATAGCGCAAGAAAGACTGGACTTTGCCATGAGAGAGATAGTTTTTGATCTACTCTCAGTAGGGAGACCAATAAAAATGATTTTGACCCCTGAACGAATGAGCATTGGACTAAGAGCTTTCTTGGTGGTGGCTGACAGTTTACAGCAAAAAGAGGGTGACCCTCCGATGCCTAGATCCGTTGGGGTGCTCCCTAGTGGTAATACACTGAGAGTACGAAAAACTTTCTTGAATAAAATGCTCACTGAAGATACGGCGAAGAGTATAGGAATGAACGCTTATTTTCCGCATGTTAGGAGGGTATTTGTGGACATTTTGAGGGCTCTGGATACGCAATATGGACGGCCCTTGATGATGACGAACACGCAGAACGTAAATAAAGAGCCCGATGAGATGATTACTGGCGAGAGGAAGCCTAGGATCGAGTTGTTCAGGACTTGTGTAGCTGCAGTGCCAAGGTAGGTATACTAATTTCTTTGTAACTTTCTCAGTAATAGTAGTTAAAGTTTTTTTTAAATAAAAATATAAAGTACAGCGCGGTAAAATACAAGTATGGCGCAGTCGGTAGGATTACTTGAATTTATAATGTTATTTAAATTTCTCAACATATATATTTTACAATTTAAGAGATTTTATCAATTTAAACCATTTTTTTATTCTTTCACTTTCACACGCTGTATAATAACGGTTTGGAGTACATTATAATTTACAATTTTTAACAAAATAGGTTGATACCAGATGGCATGACTAGTAGCGAACTAGTAGACCTTCTTAGTCGTTTGACGGTACATATGGACGAGGAACTAAGAGGTTTATCATGCTGCAGTCTACAAAGCTTAGTGGTAGACTTTCCAGAATGGCGACAGGATGTGCTATGGGGTTTAACACAATTTGTCGCCAAAGATATCTTAGACACCTTCCCTCAGCTCATGGACCATGGTTTAAAAATGATTTTGACACTTCTATGTGCCTGGAAGTCTGCCCTAACCAACACGCCTTTGAACAACACACTTCGCGTCGGTAAGTCTTGAAATTTGGGGTTATTTAGTCTTTGACTTGAAAGGGTTTTCAGCTAAAGATTATTCTGACATGAAGAGCTCCACTCCTGATCCAAATTTGACCAAGAAGACTGACGTGGGTAAATCTGAGCCACTCTCATCCGTCCTACACTATGCCGAGGCTTTGGCTTTGGTTGTTTTGTGTAATTACCGACAAACTTCGCGTAGATTGTCTGTGCTGATCCTCAAAGAAGTGAAAAGTCTTCTGAAAATACTGAATTGTTCGGATAATGTTCCTGTGATCGATGTGCTGGATCAGAATTGTGGAGCTGTGCTGGAAAGGTGTCTTTCTTTGGTGCCTGTTGCTGAAAAGACTGCTATTCAGGCTGTGACTAATATAGACTTCCAGTGGTATGTGTTTAGTAGTTATTGAGCATAGGATTTTGATTGATTTGTGAATTTTTGACATAGGTTAGCTGATAGAAACTCGTCAACCTGGACTGTAGGCTTGGTGGACGAGGGCTCTAATAAAAGCCAAGGAACCTACAATTTTAACGTAATAGATCCTTGGAGCGTATGCTTATTCGGATTTCTAGAAAAAGATAAACTAATAAATTCATGTCCTATGATGACTATACATTCCTGGCCAATAGTTTTCAATAGGTTAAATGCCTTGTATTCTGTGGTTGATCCTACGTAAGAATAACTTTTTTAAAGGCATTTATCTTGTGTATAATGGGGTATTTTTTTGTTTAGGCCATTAAATGATAATAGAGCATCTTTGTTAAGGAGTGCTACAGCTGTGAAGAAACCTCCAACTGAAAGAGATGCCTACATGCACCTTTGGAAGAACTACATAACCTTTGCATTTAAGGTCGTACCTTTGATATCAAATCCGATTATTAGATGTGCCAGTCCTGATCTGAGTTTGAGGTAATAATACAGTGTGATCGAAAAAAAACACCTCACAATGAGCATAGAAATAATATTTCAGTTCGGCTCTGTCACTCTCCTTCAATTAAGCCATACATTTTTGATCTGTACCATGAAAATTATGACTTTTGTCTTGTTTATTAAAATAACTCCATACTGTTATATATTTTTGAACAGCTAGTAAAAAGGAAATGATATACATTGGTCAACGGCTCAAAATTAAAATTAACAAAAAAAGTTCTATAAGTATCAGTTTTAAAAACATTTCCAAAACCACCCTGTATCATGGAACCTATGGAGGCCATACAAAACACATTTTTAGAGTTTTTGTGTCTCTATACACGTAGGATAAGTAATATTAAATATGGCGCAGTCGGTAGGATGCACTCCAATTAGTGATGTGTTGGTATTTGAGTAACGCGATTTTGGAGCGGTATTTTTTTGTATCGTCGTGTCGCGCTCCACAACGAATCAGGAACCTGTTACTGAAGAACGACGATTATAATGACAAAATTATAAATTATTTATAATTTGCAAATAAATTATTTATAACCGCTCTTGAAGTTAGCTGGACCCGTAGTAACTGCATAGCGACGTGTTTAGCTCCAGTCGTCGCCGTCGCGCTCCTAGAGCCGTACATCCGCCTGTCGCGAACAGAAGTAACTGGTCCCTGGTCCCTGCTGTAACTAGCTATCGACGCTCGACCTTCGTTCCAGCAGTCGCTGGAGCGCTTCTAGTGTTCCGGTTTTGCCTGTCGCGATGGTAACATCGTGGGGCATTTTGTACATCCGCGTTCTCTAACAAATTTATATTTATCTTTAACATATAATTTTAACATAGCATTTTAAATAATTCATGATCAGCTGTTCAGAATTTTATTAGTATAATGGGCTCTTTCGCAAAAAATAAAATACCCAATTCAATGCCAAAATCTGAAATAGAAGACTATTTTCAGTATATTTATCCAAAAAAATAGTTCCATGACATTGAATAATTTTTTTATAGGCTCTCAAAATTGCTTTAATTTGAAATAATTTTAAAGTGCCAATTGATGATGTATGAAAAATAGGCCTAATCACATTGCAGAACCGTGCTCGTGCGCCAGCCAACAACTGGTAACATTGCGATTTGATTTGACCAGCACCACCTCAACTCAAGGCCAATCAACATGATATGGGCAAGGCAAATATGGCGGCGAAGGCAGCGCATTATTAAATTGTTTACCTTTAACCTGAAAAGCCGGTAGTGGTTTCTCGTTCCGATTGCATACCAGAAATAATTAATTATCTCTAGTTTGTTGTGCTTCTGGAACACGTTTGTTTAGTTCTTAGTGTTCAGTGCATGGTGTGATCAGAAAATTGTGATAACAGTCTAATAAAAATCCAAACCAGACATTCCACATAGGGAACTTCAAACTTTTGTGCTTGTCGTACTCCTCTATTATTAATTATTTATCAAGATATTACACCTAAATGAGTAAAAAGCCTTCGCCGCCAGTCTGCATAGTACTTTATAATGGTTACTTACAATAATCAAATGATAGGTATTAAAGGGTAGGTATTAACATTTTATTGTAGCATGCCTTTTACATGCTCTGTTCCAAATTGTCACGGGAATTATAGAGGGGGTCCCAAGGTTTCTGCTTTTATATTCCCCAAAAATGACGAGCTTTGTAAAAAATGGTTGACAGCTATTAAAAGAGATAATTTCACTCCTACTAGTAGTTCTCGGGTATGAAGTGCATTAAATATGCCTCAAGAAGGCCAAAGGCCAAAGCCTCTGTTACCCTAGTGAGGATGTAGTTATGGCTACTGCTTACAGTTACCTCACTATAAGTAAAATATTGGAAGAAGAATCAAGCTTTTTACATCAAAAAGATCACAGAAAGATATTGACCACATTGACATTTGAAAATATAAATGGCCTGGAAGTAAGTCTTTTTTTATGTTACAAATGCCCCCCACATACGTCAGAATTTATTATTAAATCCATCTTGTTCAGAATATCCAATATTTTATTGAAGAACTACGCAAAAAAAAGGAATGACGTCTTTACCACAAAGATGTATAAATGTATAATAGATATGTAAAGAGAAAAAGTAAAGAAAACTAAGCTAAGCGTAAGTTTTACTTACGAACCCCCCAAAAAGGTATTTAGTTTTTTTTCTATATAAAATCTTGAAACACATATTATATTTTTTATTTATAGTATAGTTTAAATTTATTCCCATTTGTGTAATGCTGCAAAACATAGAAAAAATATTCCATATTTTTTGACCCAAGCCAGTGTAGTTTATAATTCCAAGAGCATTTACCAAGGCTTTTACCAAGACAAGTAACTTCCTATACTGTCCATAATAGTATATATTTATCAAACGTTCAGTAAATTCTAAACTATGGTAGTTAAGTGCTTGCAATTGAATATTTAGGTTATTATAATTATTTGTGGTTATTTCTTTTTCCGATGATTTTGAACACCCTATATATGCTACCTCAAGTTTGAATATTTTAACACTACCTATTTTCTGAGAAAGGAGACCTTTTTATAAACAGTAACTAACTGATGTTTTCATAAGAGTAATAATACAAAAAATTCCATACTTATGTGGAGAACTTTAAACTCCCTGTATATTAAAAAATTAGTGAAATATTACGTAATCTAACCCGACATTTGTGTGAAAAACGTCTATTTGGAAATGAAACAGGTTTTAAAATACGCGCCAAATAAAGCACTTCTGTCTCCGCCATATTGGAAAAGGTTGAATAGCGTTGTGTGGAGGTGGTGATGGGTCAGCATGGAGGCACAGAACAGTTACAAATTTATATATTTTTATTTGTTATATTTTATTAATACACAGAACAGATACGATTGTAAACACAATGTTAAAAATAAAGTGCGGATTTTTATTCTGGGCTTTTTTGTTTTTATTTATTTACTTAAGAACGACTTCAAATTTTTCGAAAGTGAGATAGCAGAAAATTCTAGAATTAATTGCTTTATTGAATTATGCTAATTCCAAAATATAGTAAAAGAGCCCATTTTGAACTGAAATGTACTTTCTTTCTTTATTGCGGGTAGTTTTCATGATGATAGATAAATATTAGATGATTGGTGGTTCTTATCATGATATATTTTAGTTCTTCGCCTGACAGTCTTAGTCAAGAAAAGAACGATCCGAAGTTTGCGGCAAATGTATCTCCTACTGCGCTTTATAAGTTGGTAGTACCTCATTTAAGATGCGAGGTGACTGATATTAGAGACTCTGCAGTTTATGCAGCTGGACATATTAATGACACAGCCCTAAGGTATGTACATCACTTTAAATTGTTGAATATGATTATGAATACATTTTTCTATTGGCATATTCTTATTGTACGGTAACTTTGTCTCACTAGGGACTTACTTGAAGAATTGACAGTTTATATAAGAGAGGCAGTCGATAAAAAGCAAGAGAATGTCAGAAGAAGACGCAGAAGAGATGCGTTAAGGCTACAGATTATGAGGTTATTGGAATATATCGCTGAAAATGAAACTTATGGTGTTAGGTAAAATATTTTTTTTAAATCTTGACGAAATTAGATGCTCATAGTTTTAATTTTCTTTTAGTTCATGCGCAATTGATAAAGATTCGCAAGGACTACATCCTCTTTTAGTTGAATTTATCGAAGGTGTAAGATATTATTTGGAAAATGAGCCTGACAAAAATTCCAGCACTGTTAGAGACCTAACTTATCATTTTTGTTACTTTTTACGGAAAATGATTAAAAACTTTAGCCGTAAGTATATGACATACATAAATAAAAGGATTAAATGAACCCGTTCACATTTAACGTTCAAATGAATGTTAAATGTAAAAGTAATGTTTTTACATTTTGTGCCGATTACTTGATCAACATATTTCTGATAATTTTTGTCCCCCTATACAAGTAGAATAAATAATATTACATATGGCGCAGTCCGTAGGATACACTCTAATCCCTTTGGTGTTTCTTTAATAATAAATAAAGGGGTGATTCTTGAACCTATTTAAGAAAATAGCTTCATATGAATGTATGCCCTAAACAAGTTTGGAGATACAGAGTGGTAATATTTTCTAAAAAAATATTCCCTTTAGAATAATTCAATATAAAATCCGTAAGGACACCACTGGTTGAATTAAATAAAACTGTACATCAAAAAAGCAATTTTAATGCATAAAAAACTTGTACCCCTCCAAAAAAATTCTTTATGGGTATTTCGCCACTGCATTGCAAGAAAAATCTACAAAATAAAATTGTTATTTTTTGTAAACACTTCTGCGTTAAACCTAAACGGACACTGCTTGTCATAACTTATGTTTACAGTAATAAAAATTTGCCTAACAAAGAAAAAAAATGCTTAACGTTCGGATATTTTTTAAAAAACTTGTAGTAGGATTCATAAAGATATCTATATGGAAACCGTTATTATGGAAAAAAATATAGAAAAATTACTACTAAACATCTTAAAAGTTAAGACATTTAGTACAGTATTTTTTTTTTTCTTAGATTAGATTCAACAATCACTCCCTTAAATATTAGCATGTCATTATGGAACACCCTGTGTGGCGCAGTCGGTAGGATACACCCGAATACCTTGTGAATTTACAATTATTGAGAGAGACATATAATTTCCCAGTCCAAAATAATTTGTATTAAATATATTTGTATTTGTTTGATATTTGAAATACTTATAAATCTGTACAACATTTATATTTATTCCTTTTTAGTTGACATTCGTCGTAGTTTGTTAAAACGCGACTTAAGAAAAAACTTGTTTGTCCTATTCACTTACTGGGTAGGCAAGTATACACTGCCCAACACAAAAATATCGCAACCTGAAGGCGACATGTCTAACAAAAAACACGCAGAACTACAGTTTGCTTCGCTACAAGCTATGAGCTCTCTATTATGTTGCGGGCCATGCTTTGACGGACTGACTGAAGAAAGTCCTTATTATTTATGGTTGGATGGTCTGCTAAACAGTACCGATGAAAAAGTAGGTGTTATTTTTGTCATATTTTTGTCTATAAAGATATAACCCTCCAACTGAAAAATAATAAAAAATTTATAGGTATATAAACTAGCTCAAGAAACAGTTATTTTGTTGCTCGAATCAAACTCCGATGTGCCTCAACTATTGGATTGGTTGGTTGATAAATGTTACACCGGAAACTCCAAGGTTGCTGATTGTTGTTTCCTTGCCCTAGCCACTATTTTCAGCGCTAGGTATAGCCTTAAATATTAACACAGATTATAAGCTTTGTTTTTTCTTTATTGTTTTTCGTGGTTCCAATTTTCGAAATCGGGCACTAGTTAGGTTACTAGTTTGCGCACATAGCACGCCCACTTATGGCTTATAAAATTGTGCATAGCGCCTGACCGGCACAGTTATTAGAGAGATATCGAAAAACCGAATAGCGTCATGCAGTATTTACGCGTACCTTATCATGGTTACGATATGCGCGAGTCAGTTTTTAACGCAACACCCGCTAATAACGTTACCGCCTGACGTAATTTGCGGATCAATTACACCAAGCGCTATTTCTAAATAACGTTTAAAAATTGCTTAAATGGGCATGTGCGGGTATTTGACAACCGGGGCCGGCCGGCGAGATCTTTTATTTTAGGTTATGTTTGAATTGTTTTGAATTATTACTTTAGTTTTATTAGGTAATTTGATATTTAAGTAGCTGGGAATAGTTTTAATTAAATAAATATGGCCCAAAATATGGATTCCACCTCTTCCAATATTAAAGAACCTATAAAGAGGCTTAGGTTTACAGCAGATGACGACTTAGCCCTTCTTAGAGAATTTGTTGCTTATTGCCCTAAACCATAGACAAACTAACAAAAGCAAGACGCGTCAACGCTGTACTGCAAAACGGTAACAAGTTTGATAAGAGTTTATTACCGCGCTTGCGTCAACTGGCCTTTTAGACGAGGACGGTTTACTTATGGATTGTGTATTTTGTAGTAACCTTTTAGACAAGGATGTTTAATTAAAAGCGTTTATTAAAAATCAAATAAATTTATTTCCATCGGTAAAATATACAATAATTTCTGGACATAACAGATATAAAACAAATGTTAAATAAACGAAAACGTATTCCTCTTAATAAAATAACAAAAAGATGATAAAAAAAAACAACAGTTATGGTAAACGAAATAAAAGCATTATTCTTCAAAAGGTACAAAAAAAATAATTATGTATATTATAATATTAATAATAGGAACAACAAGAAACATCTTAAAAATATACAACTTTTTCAAATATAAAACAAAAACATAAACTTCACATTTTCACAAGAATTTGCAAAAATATTAACATTTCGAGTCTATTATAAAATATAAAGCACGAAAATTCAAATCATAAAACGATTAAATAGATAAAGATTCTTATAACTTACAGTCAATTTGTAGGACCTTCGTTTTGTCTACGTTAGCGATGTAATCACAATAATATGTATAATCACAGTAATTATTATGTTCTTCATAAATGTAAAATATATTAAATTATTTGTTTTCGTTTTGTACGCTAATAAAATAATAGTAATAACCAAACAAAACGCAAAATCAGGAATTCAACAGTTCGTTCAAGGATGGTTCAAGGCAAAAACGTTTTTCGTTTTATTTAGGTTAGGTTTGACGAGTGCGACTGCGCGATGATTTCTGACTCAACTGGCCAGCGCAAAAACAATAATTCGACTTCCTCAATCCTTTGAAAAGTCTTGCTTTTGTTAGTTTGTCTATGCCCTAAACCCACTGGCAGACGTTGAACAGTAAAGCACTGGAAATAAGCACTTTAGCCGAGGGGTGTCTCACTATTGGAATTACATGTACATTTCCCTTGCAGTCGCTGGCAGTCATTAGCAGTCTTATGGCAGTCACCTATAATAATTACATGGCAGTCATAGGCAGTCTTCTTCATAGTCATTGGCAGTCGCTTAGCAGTGGAAGGATATTTTGGCAGTGCGTGTACATTTTTTACCCGAGTGAGACACCCCTCGACTTTAGCCCTTTGGTTTTAAAATACCTAGTAAACAAAACAATTTCAAAGTTTTAAATTCAAAGTTAGGTTAAGTTTAAATAGCGGACGCGACGCGAATAGAATTCTTTCCGATCCGATAACTATAAATGAAGAGAGTTAATACCACCTCACGTAAAGGAAATAACACCTGGCCTTATTAACGTCCATGCACGCTATTCGGTTTAGCGATATCTCTCTATTACGCTGTTTATTGTTATTTTACGCGAGTTTATTTTTGCGCACAGAAAATTTTACTCGTTTGCACATCGTCATAAAAAACAATTTTCGTACCACGAATTAGGGACAAGATTTCTATCTGTATACTTATAGGATACCTAATCTGTGATATTAATTTCACGATATTTTTTTATAACACTGTGTTTTTGTAGGGAATATCCTTGCGATCATTACATAGCGATCATAAACGTCACCTTAATGAATACAGGGTGTCCCAGACAAAACGTCAGAGACACAGCTTTACAGTTATTGCAGCTGTTGGATAAGAGGTTTTTCGGTAGTGTTCCATTACCCGAAAATGATTTAGGTAAAAGTTTTTTTTTCAAAAATGTTACAGATGTTACAATTATTTTTAAATTAAATTTTAGCTGAAGGTGATAGAGGCAGAGGTACACTTGACGCCATTTTGGCAACCTCTTATTGCAGATCACAAATTCATTTGTCTAGGCAACTTGCCTTATTACATCCTGAACTTACTATGCCTATGTTTTCAGGTAATGCTTGATTTTTGATATTTTAACTAGTCTATTCTTATTTTATTTTTATTTTTGCCCAAAGAAATAACATATAGGTTCCAAACTGCACGTCCAGAAGTTAGACAGCTGCTTCTACAGTACCTTCTTCCGTGGTTACACAATATGGAGTTGGTTGATCCAAATATTCCACCAACTAACGCACACATGTACCAGTTTTACGCCAATGACATGGGAGCTGAGAGAAAAGAGGGCTGGGGATCCGCAGAAGCCACAGAAATGGTGTTGAACAATATATTTTATATCACAGCAAAGGTATATCAATTTTCTTTATATTTATAGAGTATTTCTTAAAATTATTTTTTTTGTTAGTTTGGTGATAGTCATCCAAAAGAAGTAGAAGAAGTGTGGGGTATGCTGTGTACTTCATGGCCCAATAATATGAAAGTTATCATAAGATATCTGATTATTATATCTGGAATGGCTCCTTGTAAACTTTTGACATATGTAAGTTATAGATTTTTTAAATAAATAATTTTAAAAACCTGAAAATTATTTTAAATTACGCATAGTTAATTTGAAATTAGTAATTATAGTTTAAAATTGTCTAAATATACATTTTAAATTGTTTTTACCGTACAAGTAGGATAAGTAATATTAAACATGGCGCAGTTGGTAGGATCAGCTAAGATAATTTGGCTGAAACGGTGTTATTTGTGCTTATACTTTTAAAACTAAGATTTTTCTTAAGTAGAACTTTTTTACGCGTGCTAGGAGTAAAAATTCAAGGTCGTGACACACGAGCTAGCGAGATGAAAAGTGGTAAGGACCGCTGATTGCGCGATTGCGCAAACACATTTGGTTTAAAGCTAAGAAAATCATTTTAATGAACTTGATACTATACTTGTGCAAAGACTGTATATATTCTAAAGGACTGTTCGATCGCGTCAAATCGCCGCTGTCGTAGTCGCCGTGGAATGCTACGTCACGCGCTGACCAGCGCTCCACAGTGCGGCGGATGGCTATTCTAGCGGGACAAAATGTTTGGGACTTAAAATCTAAGATCGTAGCAAATGGTCTAATATATAGCAACTATATGGTTAAATTTATTTATTTATTAACAACTTAATTTATTAATAAATAAATACAAGATAATAAAACTATGATATTATTCGTACATGACACACAAAAACCGTATTATAAACTATTGCCAAATACATAAAATTATGATATCAAAAAACTCTTTAGCAGTTTTTTTTTTAATTAATTTGTAATCTTGTGACACCCTCTATAATTTATTTTAAAAAAATATATTTTATTTTGAAAACAATAAATAAGATAGATATTTTAATTTTAATTTTAACACTCGGTAATTGTAAATTCATATATAGTAAGTATCTAAGACAATTTTAAACTCAGTGCCTTTTGATGGAGTTGTTTTGTTTTTATACTATCCGATTGAAATGAATCTTTTTGGGCATTCACCTGTTAAGCTTGAACTCCCTGTGACTGTGACTACCTGTGTTGGTAACTATTGGTAACTCAAAAGATCTACATCATTCAATATCGATATTTGAAAAAAAAGTGAAAGTTTGATATCTGCAGAACAAAGGCACGAAGGATTTTAACAAATAATATACGTACAGTAGAAAAGTACATACCTTTGGTAATCTTCAACATAATTTGGCTTTCTAATAAAATGTATAAGCACTTGTAAATATTTTGTTTTCGTATGATCTCTGCCTTGCTGAGCAGAAAATGACCAAATTTGGTTGATAAAAATGTATCGAAATACAAAGAATATTCATGCATTTTTGTATCAATTGGAATGTCTACTATTTATTATCACTACACATTTTTTGTCTTATTTCTAACCAAACGCTTTTGTCCCGCTAAATTTATCTTCCAACGCACTGTGCGCTCGTCCGTCAAATGCAAAAATAACTGTCACTGTCTAAAATCTTTAGCGCCAACTTCAACTCGGTCAGTAGATGACGTAAAAAAACTGACAGTGCAGGAAGATAGGAATCGAACTATCCTGATACTTCTGTACCAATGTCCTCTGGTTGTGCTAGGAAGTAAATTTTCATGCATATTTTCATGGATAGGTTTGTAGCTTCTGAATAACGGTCTAGGTAAAGCATCTAGCTCGTTTGCTAGCTCAGAATTAGAAATATTAGAGTTAAGCAACTTACATTTTTATTGGAGGACATTGTCATATTTATTTTAAACCAATAATCGACTAGAATGTTCGTATAATTTAACTAAATTACTGTAAATCACTATAAATAATGAACAAAACATGTAAACAAAAACAGACCACACGAATTGTTGGTTAGGTTCAAAATTTCTTCTTTTCTTAAATAAACTTTAAGGGGCGTTAACATCATAAGTTAACATCATTAGGCATTTGCATAAAAGTTTGTATTTTGGGAGGTATTCTACAAAATTTGCAGGATATTGAGGAAACAGAAAATGTACATATTACAGAAATAAATTGAAAATAATATTTATATTAAAACAGCATTATATGTCACTTTTTCAAACGTGTCCTTCAATTTAATAACCGTTAGTAAGGAATTTCACTTTAAATATGCGCACATAGTGCACACACTTTTTTTTTAATAAATTAATAAAACAAATTTTTAAAATAGGCAAAGCGTGTTGTTCTATATTTGGCTCGTGTCCAACCTGTTAGACTGTTGGACGAAATGATGTTGGAACTGCAAACAGTGGAGACTTTAAACTGTCTTATAGAAAGGACAGAAACCCCTCCTTTCTATAGGTTGACAGTTATGCGGAAAGCGTCAAGTCACTCGGACGGTACCAATGGTGTAGCTGGACAGAGCGACAGTAGTAGCAGAAATGATCTGAGTTAGTACATATAATAAATTATTGCATGACCGTAGTGTATTTAAATGACACTATCTCAAATACTAGATAGATAATTTTTTCGAGATAATAAATAGAACATTATTTTGCTAGGTATAGAAAAAGGTACAATCCATACAAAAAGACATAGCGGAGAGGATCCTTCAAAATCTTTGGCTAAATCCGAATCAGCGTCAAACATGTTTGCTGATTTCAACAACAAATCGAGAAACCAAGACGATTTGAGTAACTCAATTGAAGAAGTACGTTGGGATATATGAACTACTACTGGGCTTTGTATGTTTATTAAAATATAATTTTGATATATTTCAGGCTTCTGGTGGGGACGAAGTTATTTTAAGAGAAAAACTAGACATTCCACAGCCTCATCCATTGCCTATGCCTGAATTTGGAGGGTATTTTGCCCCTTTAACTGAGTATTTACCCGATAGTTCCCAGCCGATTTCTGGGTTCCATAGGTAAATACTTATGAACGATCTTAATCATATAAACTATCATATCCATATTATTTTATTTTACTTCTAGATGTAATGTCGGGGTTATGTTACTATGTGACATAGTTGTCGACGGTATAGAGCTAGATTGGGCTATCCATGTTCCATTGATGCTACACATTCTATTCTTGGGCCTAGACCATACCAGAACTATAGTGTACCAACATTGTAAGCGGTTATTACTGAATTTACTTACAGTGTTAGCTCAGCATAATGATCACCTGACTGTAGCCCATATTCTGCTAAACAGCCAATCAGTTCAGCTTGAATTAGGGTTATCTACACCATCATTATCTGTGGTTAGACATGTATTCACGGGTAAAAAACATTAATATTTTATATCATTTTTTTTAACTATTCTAATTTTTTTTAGAATCGGATTCAACATTTGATGAATTTCTTTATAACCAGATAACATCAGCTGTTACTACCGAAGCTACCAACAAAGTTAGTTTGCAAAGTATTTCTTCTAAAGAGGAAGAAATTCCAGGTAATTGTACTTAAGTTTTTTTGTTATTTTATTTAAAATTAATTAGATTTTTCAGCTGAAGATAAGGATAGTTCTATAACTCCCGTTATAGTACTTCCGGAAAATGCCGAGCCTGTGGTTCCAATAAAAATTGAACTTACAACATCCACGGTTATAAAGTCTTTGGTTGATTTCTTGGCTACTAGACAGACGCCTCTTTGGAACTATGAGGATATAACAGCAAAAGTGTTTACTGTGAAAAGTGCTGAACAAATTGACGTTTTTCTTCAGTATATTTTGAGAATCTTTAGAGATTCGATTCCTAACGCTCACATAAATGAGAGGTGGGCTCAGACAGCTTTACAGTTGGGTAAGTAAAGTAGGGTTAGAGGTAATATACTGCAAGTGATATTTGTGCTTAATACTGCTTTTATATAGTCTGTCCATCAAGAGAATATAGGATTTTGACAGACGTCATTGTAACGGATCTTAAAATGACAGAAAACTATCAGTCGTTTATTCTTTTGGTAAACAAACTATATAAATTCAAGTATATCATTGTTTTTTTACTTTTTAGGTTTAAGTTGTTCATCTAGGCATTACGCTGGAAGATCTCTACAGATATTTAGAGCTCTCAGAGTACCGATAACTTCGAGAATGCTGTCTGATATTCTCAGTAGATTGGTCGAAACTGTTGCAGAACAAGGAGAAGACATGCAAGGTAACTGATCGATATTTTAACTACTTTATTTAATGTTAACTTTATTTTTTATTTTTTTTAGGTTATGTAACTGAACTATTACTTACTTTGGAAGCAGCCGTCGAGGCGCTGGAGTCAGATTTTCGACCTCTGGACCTTACTAAGGAAATTTTTAAATCAACGCCTAATTTGAATAATAGAGATGTTATAACGTACAAGAAGAACCCTGACGGTACTACAAATGTCACACCTGTGTTTAATCATTCCATTTCAGGTTAGTGAATTCAGCTAATAATCTTATGGCTAGATTCTTGTTATCATTGAATAAAAAGGCTAAGTTAAAAAAGAAGAAAAAAGGCTAAAAAAAGCGATTGTTTTTTTTATCATTTTTTTTTTCTTTTTTATTTTTTTATTTATTTTTATTTTTTCTTTCTTCTTTTTTTATCTTTTTCTTTTTTTTAATTTATAAATCGGGTCACAAAAGATATAAGAGTTCAGTTTTATTATACACTGTATATATTATTTTTTTTATATTGTTTGTTTAATTTCTTTGCAGTCGGACATGCAAGAAGTACTAGTTATTCAGTGTCTTACGGACTAAAGAAAAACGGGCAGTCCAGTAACGAGATGGAACGGAGAAACAGAAACAGTGCAAACGATGTAGAGCAAAATAGAGCTAAATTTTCATCAAACTTGTCCCGTTCCAGGTCGGCTCAAAGCTTAAAAATGTTAGGTAAACAATTTACTTTTTTTATCATATTTTTAAACTTACAATGAAAAAAATATTTTCCCTAGGTGATTCGGCAACGCAGGATGACAAATTGACTATTCTAGCTCAGCTGTTTTGGCTGGCAGTGTCGCTGCTTGAATCGGACTACGAGCACGAGTTTTCATTAGCCGTAAGACTGTTGACCAGGGTCATGCATAGGCTGCCTTTGGACAGGCCCGATGCCAGAGATAAGGTTGAAAAATTGCAGCAACAGCTGAGGTGGAACAGTTTTCCAGGTGTCCACGCTTTGTTGCTTAAGGTAAGTTTCTAACATACTCGTATATCCTTATAACGTGCTTTATTAATATTTGTCACTTTTAATGATCGTCTACTACCGCTTACCTGTTCAAAATATTCTAATAAGGTTGCGATGAGTTTTTTGCAACGGCTATTAAGTTATTTTGTACACTTTGTACTAAAAGAGGTTCTACAAAGAACACTGTTCGACTGCAACGTATAATTTTTAAGCTTAAAGTATCACAGCACAATTTATTTAAACCAAAACTCGTAATACAAAACTAAACCGTCAAAACGAATGACAATGTCATGAAATATGTAAATAAATATGACAACTTGACGTTTTTTGCAGCAGAGCTTTGACGTTTTTTACGGCAAGACTGCTTAAAAACAACAAGAGACCGACGCATGACGGATTTATATTAAACCCATCTATAATAGTTAACTTAATAGTTATTAATGATACAAGTTCGATACGAACATCATAATGAAACGCGTGTGAACAGTTACACAAGTTTCATTAAAAAGTTCGTATCGAACGTGTATCATTCAAAATTTAATCTACGACGCGACACGAGGGACGATCCAAAGAGATTTGATTTAATTTAAAATATCAGAGATATCCTCATAAAAATTAAAATTCAAAATTATCATGTGCCCATATTAGTCGACGCCGTGGTAACCGTGCTTGTTGATTGTTTCAATTTTGACTTTGACAACTTAATTATTGATGTTCAATTTTGTGTTAAACGTTCAGTTCATAGACAAACAAATAAAAAGAGACTGACAAATCCCATGGTAAAGAGTGGGACCGCGTTCTCGTAGCGCAACTCAGAATAACAATTTTGAAACCAATTAGCAGGACCATGGCAGGACGTACGTCTTTATTGCTATCTTTCTTTATTATGTGTGCTTTATATGAAAAAGAAAGAGATAGGTATAAAACGTATCGTAAGACGTTATCGCACATTCTGGCTGGCGGAAAATTTAAATTAGCCATTAGTAGTATTCTTTCATTCTGAAACTGAAAATTTTCACTTAAACTGATTTACTCTTTTACTCTATTGTAGGGAATAAATCAGTTTAAATGAAAATTTGCAGTTTCTTTTAGAATGAAAGAATACTACTATTATAAGGGAAATTATAAAAAAGCAAAAATTGTACTGTTTTATAAACATATTTATTTATACATAAAAATAAATAAACTTTTTATAATGTAATAACAAAAAATAACAGTGTTTATTCCACCCACCTACCAATTTTAAATGCAGAAGAACTGACTGTTGCAGGAAACGATTGGCCAATTTTTTTAAAGGGCATTAAAAATCTCATTTTCCAACCAAACCAAACCATTTTCAAGTCCAGTTTTAATCCTAAAACATAAGTAAAATAGATATATTAATTATTATTTCTGGTTACTATAAACCAGCTATAAACTACCTACCCAAAAAATGAAAAAAATTAATTGTATTAATTTGTTATGTTAAGAGAGGTTCTAAATATTTTTGACACTACTACTTCTACTTTTTTCTTAATAAGATGATAAATATAACTACTTACTTTTATTTTACCGGGTGTCTTTAACATATCTATCAGAGAAAGGGGGCACCAATACATTTAAAAAATAAATGATACTGGCTCCTGCAGCAAATAAAATAACAAATAGTATAAACGAAAATTATAAGTAACAAGATATAAATACCTATATGGAACAAAGGAATTTGTTTCCTATCCATATTCATAAGTCAATAAAATGGAGAGTTTAGAAAAAAAGGTAAATCACCAAAAGAAAAATTAACAAACATGACGAATTGTCATGATGTTGTCATCTTGGTTGTCATGACGAAAACGAAAGGCTATTGTTCTAATTTCTATTTAGAAATTACGTTTTATATGGCTGCTTCTTTCTCTCTTGTTATATTAGATTGAGATAGTGGGCCCAATAGACGCAATGCGCAGATCAACATAAATAGAACGAAATTTTGCGTTCTGAGTTGCGCTACGGGAACGTTGTCCCTCTCTTTGCCAGTCTCTTTTTATTTGTTTGTCTATGGTTCAGTTTTAGCAAAAAGCAAAAAATAATATGAATATGGGTATTTCTGATTCTGAAAGTGTCCCTTCGGATATTGAAGGCATTGCGCAAAACGTTGTCGATTCCCTACTTCCCGAAAAATCAAGACAAAAGTACGAGCAGGCCTATGTAAAACTTGAAGATTGGTGTAAAAGGAAAGGAATCAAGAATAGTAGTAACGAAAAGGTTCTCCTGGCATATTTTGAACATCTTTCAAAACATAGGAAGGCTTCATCACTTTGGGTATATTATTCCATGCTACGTTCAGTTATATCAGTGAAGAAAAATACAGATATTAGTAAGTACGTCCATTTAATTGCATTTCTAAAAAGAAAATCGGAAGGATTTCGGTCAAAAAAATCGAGAATTTTAAGAAAAGGAGACATAACTCGTTTTTTGTTGGAAGCTGATGATAAAACTTATTTCCTGACAAAAGTTTCATTGATAGTGGGACTTGCGGGAGCCTGCCGGCGTATCGAGTTGACATATTTGCAGCTGCAAAATGTTAAAGATGAAGGACAACGCATTCATGTCATTATTCCATTTACGAAAACAAAGATATCACGAGATTTTTTTATAACGAAAGGGAATGTTGAAGGAATAAATATGGTGGAAATGGTTCGAAAATATATAGCTATGCGGCCAAGCAACACAGAGCATACTCAATTTTTTGTGGGGTACAGAAATGGAAAATGTATTAAGCAACCCGTTGGCATTAATACTTTAGGGAAAATGCCGTATAAAATAGCATTGTTCCTAAGTCTTCCAAATCCACAACAATACACTGGACATTGTTTCCGTAGATGGTCTGCGTCGTTGCTTGCAGATTCAGGAGTGGATTTATTAACTGTTAAAAGACATGGTTGTTGAGGCTCTAACACAGTGGCAGAGAGCTCTATAGAAACTTCCAAAGAAAATAAGAAAAAAGTGTCATGTAATATTTTGGGTAACATTTCTGGCAATGATGGGTCTTCAACAAGTTCAAGCACTCAGGAAATAAATTTACTTTCTAAAAATTCAACTCACCTGTCATCGTCTGGAATTAATTTAACCAATTGTACTGATATTATAATTAATGTTTACAATAAATAAACGTATTTAGGTACCTTTTTTGCTTGTTTCTTATTTTAAAATTTGCGTGTTATTATGAATTCATAATAGCACTAGTGCTATTATGAAGGCCATAATGACATCCAAATGACTATGTTAAATGTGTCATAATGACATTGTCGTAGATTAAAAAATATTAGGAACATTTTTTAGTAAAATAAATGGATTGGTATGGACGTTATCTGCCTTTTTTCTGTCAAGCTGTTTGTCGAAATCTTTCCTGAATCGTAAATCAGAGTATAGCTGAGTTATTTAATTTTAAAAAACTTACATTTTGATACATTTTTAAACTCGTCTTTTGTTGGACTTTTTTTTTGAAAAAAAACTATCGTACGTAGGAACAGCAACTCTTTGTGTCTCTTTCTATTAACCTTGCCAACTGTCGTTACGACTATAGAATTACAAGATCTGTATAGATAATATTTATTTTTTGTTTATAGGGTTGTACACATCCAAATATCTACGAACCAGCTGTAGAACTACTGTCTCATTTTACACCATTACTGAATTTTGTAGTAGTTGATCCGTCACAGAGTGTCGCCTTTCCAATGAACGTCATAGCTCTTCTGCCTTACATGCTATTGAATTATGAGGATGCCAATGAGTTGTGTATCAGAGCAGCAGAAAACATCGCTCAAGTAAGATTTTTTATACAAATTATTTTTTTTTACTATATAGAGTTACTTATTTTATAAAAATAAATCATAATAAGGTATTTAAGACATATTTTTGAAATTTAAATTGAATTTCAGTGATTTCTGTTAATTGTTCCAAAGGTTTGTTCCAACATAGCATTTTCTCTACTGCGCATAAGCGTAGCCATGCTAAGAAAGAGTTCTTTGTTGTGTTGGAACGAACCTTTTGTTACACAAATTCAAAGAAACAAACATGAAATTCATAATAAGGTATTTAAGACATATTTTTGAAATTTAAATTGAATTTCAGTGATTTCTGTTAATTGTTCCAAAGGTTTGTTACAACATAGCATTTTCTCTACTGCGCGTAGCCATGCTAAGAAAGAGTTCTTTGTTGTGTTGGAACGAACCTTTTGTTACACAAATTCGAAGAAACAAACATGAAATTCATAATAAGGTATTTAAGACATATTTTTGAAATTTAAATTGAATTTCAGTGATTTCTGTTAATTGTTCCAAAGGTTTGTTACAACATAGCATTTTCTCTACTGCGCATAAGCGTAGCCATGCTAAGAAAGAGTTCTTTGTTGTGTTGGAACGAACCTTTTGTTACACAAATTCGAAGAAACAAACATGAAATTCAAAATTAACAAAATTTACTTATGTTTTACTTGTTTTGACGGTTAGCACGTCAGTTGACCATTGTATTTTTGTAATTTTAATTCCATAGGTTAGCATCGAAAAAAGCAAGAAACTGGAACATTTAGGTACGGTAATGACTTTATACAGCAGAAAAACCTTCAGCAAAGAAAGCTTCCAATGGACTAAGTGCGTTATCAAATACCTTCACGACACATATTCACATTTAGGACTCAATATGCTGTCATTCTTGGTAGAAATCTTAGAAAAAGGTCCAAGTAATCTACAGCTGCCGATTTTAAACATTATACATTGCGTCTTGCACTATGTGGATCTCGCCACGCCTGCTGCTCAACCAATCAACGCAGACCTTCTAAGAATCATCATTAAATATGTTGAAAGTAAGTATAAGTGAGATAAAAAAAAACATGTTTGTGTTCTTTTTGAGGCCACAGAAAGTATATATTAATATTTTTAACAAAGGTCCACATTGGAAGGAAGCTTTGAAGATTCTAAAATTAGTGGTGAGTCGATCTAGTACTCTGGTGGCGCCACCTACCACTCTAACCACGCACTGGGAAAGTAATCTCACTTCGATACCCCATCCTTCATTTTCTGATGATGTATTTGCCAAAAAAGAACTACCAGGTAAGTTTGAGCATGTCAAATAACCTTAAAAATATTTTGTTTTTTTGATAATTTTGTTAAAATTTGATATTCCTAATTTTTTAACCATTCAAATCTCAACTGGTAAATATATTCTTTTAAAGTGTATATTAAATATTTTACAAGATTTTTAAAATTTGCTAAGAAATAGACTATGGAACAAATAAATTTAAACCTAAATTCAATTTCCTTACGCTTTTTAAAAAATTTACAGTTTTTTTTCAATGAAAAAAATATATGTGGTAGTGACAGTCCTCTGTCATGTTAATTGTTCAAAATTAGATTATTTTTCTGTCATTTTTAAAGATGTTGTCTATAGAAATCATGTATTTTCTCGTCTATATATGACTTTTTTTACAGGTAGAACTATGGAATTTACATTTGACATGTCTCAAACGCCTGTCATCGGTAGAAGATTCTTTAATAAACCTGACGACGTAGATAAAGCTAAAACGTCTACAACACCCAGAAGATCGTGTTCTATCAGTCCAGCAGATGTCACCACGCAGAGTGGTTGGAAACGACCTTGGATGTGTCAGGTTAATTTTTTTATTATATTTTTAATTGTTTTTAATTTTTTTTTAATTTTATTTTTGATTTTTTCTGTTTTATTTTTAATTATTTTTTCTTAATTTATTTTTATTTTTTTATTTTTTTTAATTTTATTTTTTTAGTTTTATTTTTATTTTTTTTATTTTATGTTTTTATAAATCTAGAGAAATAAGTAAATCTAAAGAGGTTTTAAAATTGAAGATATTCTGAACAGACCATTTTTTTCTTAAAATTTTGACATCCTGTATCTTGAAAACGAAGGCTTTTAGAACACATGTTTATATGAAGTTTTTACCTTAAAAATATTTGTAATATCGTTCTGCGAAATATCGTAGACTTATTCAGAAACACCCGGTATAGTGTCGTCTTTAATAGAATTTGACTTGTTTTTTTATAGAATGATATGGGAACAGTAAAAAATATAGCATCATATTTTTTAATCAATATAATTATTAAGAATAATGTTTTTTTTTTCTCAGGGTCGTGTGCGTGAATGTTTGGTTAATCTTCTAACAACCTGTGGACAAAGAGTTGGACTACCCAAGAGTCCATCAGTAAGTCTCTCATTCATATATCTGTTTGATAAAAATATTAATAATATCACAAACATTATTCCAAAGGTGATATTCAGTCAAACGTCTGACCTGATCGAAAGACAGTCCAGCATGGCGTCCAGCACTGAAGAAGTGTCAGCCGGAAACAACGACATGAGTGGAGGTTCACGACGTGATGACGCAGCTACGGAATTTGGCGTTTTCAAAGACTTCGATTTCTTAGAGTACGAAAGCGAGAGCATAGAGGTTTGTTTTGTCTTTTATTTTGAGTGTCATTGAACTAAAAAAGATTGTCTGTTAACTTTTGAAATAATTAGAATACTTTATTTCAGAGTGTTTGGTCAAATCAAATAATTAAGAACTATATACCATTTCTCTTTTTTCACTTATAACCTAGGTTGTATTAGGGCTCCCATAGACGCTCAGGTCTGTAAACTGAGCAGGCCAATTTGCGCAGTTTGACCTGTACTACTGCCTGTCGCAGACACATGCAGTTTTATAGCACATATTTGTCTACAGTCTTTCACAGGCGGCCTGTGCGAAAAAACTGAACGTCTGTGGGTGTCTTTTAGGAATTAATTGAACTTTTTATGAATCTCACTTAAAATGACAACCGTAGAAGTGAAAAAAGAAATTCAAGAACCTAATCGTTGTTTTTCTCTTAATATTAATAGGGCGAAAGTACGGATAATTTCAACTGGGGTGTGAGGAGGAGACCTTTCAGTCAGGGCGAAGAAGATCTAGCAGGAGTGAAACTAGAAGATAGTCTGAGCGAGAAGACGCCAGTTTTGACTGTCAGAAAGGTACACGTCTGTCCCTTTAATCATAATGTGAGTGAGCGTCCTAGTTATATATGCTTGACATGTTTTGCGTGCTTTATTGTTTGTTATTATTATTTAATTGTAGGTTATATCTATGTTTCTTATTTTTTTTTGAAAAATATAGAAAACACTATTTTTTTCATTGATTAATTTTTCGGTTTTTGTTGATTTTTTACTGTAAACAAGACAATAAGTTACTATTTTCATTGCAAAATATCACGAATTATACTTTCATGACTTGATACTTTAGCGTCTTTTGACGGAAGAGTCATCCGATGACGACATAGAATCCGAATCTCCTCTGGATGAAATCGCCAATGCTCCTGACTTTGACAACAGCAACGCAGAAAGCAGTACCGTATTTCCCCCGTCCTCTCTGGCCCTTAGAGAACAACAGGCCAGCCCTACCGCCAGATCTGACACCAGGTGAGTTTAGAATTTTTTTCCCTTTACGTTAATATTTTTTTTTATAAAAATATACATACTATAAAATATTCATTAAAAAACGTTAATTTTCTTTACAGCGGATCAAGCGCTGGTGATCTTGGTGACGTCACTCCGTGTAATGCTTCACCAAACATTCCCGGAAATGTCAGCATTCGAATAACTAAGAGCGATGTCCTGGATACATGGAATACTTTTGTGCAGTCTTGCAGTGTACAAACACCTGCAAGTTCATTACAGTTTTTCCATCAGTTACAGAGACTTGTAGCTGTAAGTTATTTGTTATTCTGTCTTAGGCTTGATTTTCATGCGTCCGTTATCCGTTGATACGATCACAGATTATACAGATTATAAACTTTGTTTTTTCTTTATTGTTTTTGTGGTTCCAATTTTCGGAATCGGGCACTAGTTAGGTTACTAGTTTGCGCACATATCATGCCCACTTATGGCCTGTAAAATTGTGCACAGCGCCTGACCGGCACAGTTATTAGAGAGATATCGGAAAACCGAATAGCGTCATGCAGTATTTACGCATACCTTATCATGGTTACGATATGCGCGAGTCAATTTTTAACGCAACACCCGCTAATAACGTTACCGCCTGACGTAATTTGCGGATCAATTACACCAAGCGCTATTTCTAAATAACGTTTAAAAATTACTTAAATGCGCATGTGCGGGTATTTGACAACCGGGGCCGGCCTGCGAGATCTTTTATTTTAGGTTATGTTTGAATTGTTTTGAATTATTGCTTTAGTTTTATTAGGTAATTTGATATTTAAGCAGCTGGGATTAGTTTTAATCACGGGGGTGTCACTTGTATGGGAAAACAGGCAACAGTCAAATTTAAACGTGCCAGGATAAACGACAAAGAAAGCAACATTGGCCAGGCATTGGCTTTCTTTGTCACTCACATTGCTTAAATCATGATACCGCGGCCATTTTGCCAACAAAGAAGCTGGCCGGCTGTTCTGGCAAGTGATTTAAAACAATTTTGCTTTTTTACAATATTAAATTACCATTTGGATGTATTTAATGCGATTATTCAGTTAACTGGTAAGTCAGAAATTACACACAAATACTTTATTCGTAAATACAACTAAGATGTAAACGTATTTTTTGTATTTTAGATTTCAACTTTTGCAAAGACCCGCCAATAGAACTTGCCTGGCAGCGTACCTGTTTAACTAAACGTATTATTTCCTGATAATAATATCAAAACACGTAAGTACCTCTATAATTTATGATGAAAAATGATTTTGATTATGTTTTATGTTATTTAAATACTTTCTGACCTCAAATAATAGTAAGATCCTTGTTTATATCGCACAGCCCGTTCAAAACTGTATTGTCTTCAAAAAATGTTTACAAAACAAACAATTATTACAAAAACAATGTCCTTTTAATCTGATTCATACCTCAGAAGGATGCCAGTAAAATTTTATTAAATCAACATTATATTATTTGGCCATTAATATGCAAAAATGAGCATATTGCCTTAACTTAAATTTTCTTTTACTTCTCTTGACAATGTTCTCTACATTCTCTATTTTGAGTTAGTAAACTTTTGAACGGGATGTGCGATATATAAAATACATAATATATCCAAGGGTATGATCTGATAAAAGTATATTTTGATGCATTTTTTGGTTGTTTATGCACGTTGGCTTGGTTTATGTTTTATTCAGCTTATATTTATTTAGTATAATAGTTTTTTTTTGCCTTTGGAATGGCATGCATTGAGGCTAGATAGTGTTTCATTAGATCATTAAAGGAATTTAAATTAGCACATGTTTTTTGTGATATTAGTGTGTTATTATGATACAACTACTAGGTAGTTGTATCATAGTGCCTTATGCATGTTATTTACCTATTATATACTTATGTATTATCAGTAAATAGATGACAACATACTACTAAAATGTATTTTTAATAGTATGTTTATCTTTCCCATTCACTAGTTATTTGCAAAATGTATTTTGAACTAATTTAAGTCATTAATTGATCATCTTTCTTTTTCAGGTTCCGGGATATTCTTTTTTCATTGTTAAAAAATATATATATTTCAATATTATTGTAATATAAATCGCAGCTCTAAAAAATAAATGATATTGTTTACTAAATGTGTAATTTATTTACTATGAATTTTCTCTGAAAATAATAAGTCTTTAACAATATCATTGATTTGCTGTGTAAAGTTAATAGACATATTTTTTAATACTTCAAATTATATTAAAGTAATAAAAAATATGTTTATTAACTTTAAACAGTAAATCAGTGATACTTATAAAAATATTTCTTTAAAAATTTCCCCTCTTTTAAGCCCCGCCCCTCCAATTCCCCTCAATTTAGCTAGTACTGCCAGGCTACACCAGGTGGCGTCGGTTTCCATTTTTTAACATGAAGTTAGCATTTCTTTAATGTACCTATTCTCTGGTTTTAATTAAATAAATATGGCCCAAAATATAGATTCCACCTCTTCCAATATTAAAGAACCTATAAAGAGGCCTACAAAAAAAGACGTTAAACAATAAAGCACTGGAAATAAGCACTTTAGCCCTTTAGTTTTAAAATACCTAGTAAACAAAACAATTTCAAAGTTTTAAATTCAAAGTTAGGTTAAGTTTAAATAGCGGACGCGACGCGAACAGAATTCTTTCCGATCCGATAAATATAAATGAAGAGAGTTAATACCACCTCACGTAAAGGAAATAACACCTGGCCTTATTAACGTCCATGCACGCTATTCGGTTTAGCGATATCTCTCTATTGCGCTGTTTATTGTTATTTTACGCGAGTTTATTTTTGCGCACAGGAAATTTTACTCGTTTCCATATCGTCATAAAAAACAATTTTTGTACCACGAATTAGGGACAAGATTTTTATCTGTATACTTATAGGATACCTAATCTGTGATACGATGGTCTGACGGTGCGGCGCTCTGATTGGTCATAGCGTTTTTGCGCAGCTTTTCATCCCTAAATTTTTTACTCCAGCCCGTCAACGGAGAAAGATCGTACGATAACGTTTTGATACTTTTTTGATAAATTTAATCTAACCTTAATAAAAATATAATAGTTCAAGAGCTAGCAACGTCGGGAAAACGAGAATTTTATGAAAGCTGGGTCTTTAATATATTTTCTATGTTCTTCTGTGCTCTCCTGATCAAAGTCTGACTGCCGGTAGACTACTGCGCATCACATCTGTACAGGCTATTCCATTTTCGTATGTTTTATGGGATTTCTCGTTTATGAATAGAGATACAATGATGCGATTTTCACATTACTTTGCTACTTTTTTATGAAACTAAATATGCTACACATATATTTGTCCTAGCCTCCTTAGTTCCTGAAATACAGGGCGGATTTGTGATGCGCAGTAGTGAACAGATGTTGAATACAGATATGATGCGCAGAAGTGAATGCAACGTCTACAGGCGGCTAGACGGTATGAAAATGCAATACATTTAAAAACTGCATAATTTTCTAACCAATCGAAGTCTTCAGAAATTCAACCAATAAAATTAATATCGTATCGTCGGATAATGGATGCATAAAAATCAAGCTTTAAGCTTAACCTAGATGATTTATTTATTTCGATTTTTGACAGGATATCTGTCAGTCTGCAATAGAAATCACCAGGGAATCGTGCACTAATATGTTGTCATCTACTGTGGCAAGTCAGGCAACTATTAAACTGTTGATAACAAGACTACATTCTGTCATTGACATAATAAACTATAGGTAATATTTGTTTAATTTATCCTTACTTTGCGTAAAACAATAACTAAACAACTGTGCTTGGCGTTTAATAAGAAACTTTATTATTTTCATATCTCTTTATACAGGATTCTGCCTTTCAATTTGATATGGTTTAACACGATGGCAATAAGCAATTCGCGCTTTTTGGAATCTTTGAAGTATGGCATGTTGGAAGTTCAGGAACATTTGGAAACTTTCTGTGATAAAAGAGATCAAGCTATAATGGTACGGAAACATTTTCTATTGTTTTTGTGCCATAATGAATTTTTTTTTTCAGTATTGTGACGCAGTGAAAACAACTTTAAAACTAGAAATCCTCAGCGGACAACAACCCGATTTTCAGCACGAACAGTATTTAATTGATTTAGGAAAAGCTCTCTACAAATTATATTTCCAGTTGATTTTACTAGTTGAATCGGGAAACAAGATGGTTTCCTCGTTGCATAGCAGTTTGAAAAATGGAAACGTAATATCATTTTAAAGATTATTCCTCTTAAATAACGTATTATCAAAAAAAAACGACGTCATAGTGGGATTTGAAATCATTGCTTGTTTCAAAGGCTACCATGACGCTGTTTTTTTTCGACTGTATTAACTGGTCGTATATTTCAGTTTAAAGATGTCAGTGCTGACATAACAAGCGTAAAATCAGCAGTGAGCAGGGCGTTGGAAGATATGGAGGCTGATGGAGGTTTGACGTTGTCAGGTAGTGGGTTGGTGACAACTGACAATTTGGTGGAGAGTCTCTGTATGTTGATTGACAACGAGAAATGGACTTCAGTTATATTGTTCTACAAGTGCAACAAAGAGCAGTTTTTGAAGGAAAACGACGAGATTTGCGATAGAAACAATGATGTTGTGTCTATATTGAACGTGTTCTGTAGAAAACTAGTAAACGACAAACCAGGTAAAGGGGAATAACCTAAAAATGTATATATATACATATACAGGGTCCGGCAATAGTGCGTCGGGCATCTGTAGCTCCTAGAATAAAAATCTTGAGAATTTTGTTTAAGTGCCAACCTAAAGTATGTACCAGGATGTATTTCAGGAAAATATTTTAACTTCTATAGGGTGGCTCAAAAAAGTGTGAGTGGACCTGGATGATTTTTTTTAAATGGAACACCCTGTATATTATTGTATTTTCGGCTTCCTTTGAGATCACTTTACATAACCCTAAGATATGAATAAATATATTTCGATAGTTTCAGTGATAATAAAAAATAAATCCAAAATATATATTTTTCAGCCCTTCTTTAAAAAAATATTAAAAATACAGGAACTGTTCTAAAATGAAATCTATATTAGGTATTTACTTTAGATGGTCTGTTCTTACTTTGCAATAAATATGGTAATCGTAAATCATACAGGATGTTCAATATTCTACGCCAAACTTTCTAAAATATAAAATATTTTTTCTTTGTTTTTATAAATGGAACACCCTGTATATTATTTTTTTTATTAGATGGAGAGTTAAAAAATGAACATTTTTTGTATTTAGAGTATTTCAGGGTGTTCCATTTAAAAAACATCATCCAGGTCCACCCACACTTTTTTGAGCTACCCTATAGAAGTTAAAATATTTTCCTGAAATACATCCTGGTACATACTTTAGGTTTGCACTTTAACAAAATCTTCAAGTTTTTTATTCTAGGAGCTACAGATGCCCGACGCACTATTGCCGGACCCTGTATAGATGTTTTTCTACTAATAACGACTTTTTTTAATTTATCGAATTATTGAAAAATATTGTGAACAAATTCTGTTTTAACTTTTTCAATAATTCAGTGTTTATTGCTAACTTTTTTGAACATCCTGTATATTAAAAAAAAAATGAAGAAGAGTCTCGAATAAGAAACTTCATATACAGGGTGTCCCAGAAATAAGTGCAAGTATTTGAAGGGGTGGTAGATCTCGATAAAAGAAACATATTTTCTCTCTATCGTTTTTCAAATAAGTCCCAAATAACGGAGTTATTTTTCTTTGAAAATTTCCAAAAAAAAAGTGATTTTTTGCTAAAATTTTGAGAACCACTTGATCTTTTCTGGATTTTCTTTCTTGTAAATTTAATCTAATACCTATGTTGCCATATTGTCAAGAAATTATGCTTTTTAACTAAAAACATTTCCAAAAAATTTCGAATTTTCAAATTTTTTTTTGCGATAAAAGCCTTATAGGGGTGTTTCTAGGGTTGAACTATACTACCAGTTAAAATACTTGCACTTATTTCTGGGACACCCTGTATAGCTTTTTTAACAATCTGCTTATCTTCATAATATTTTTGTTCAATTATTTTTATGAATATTTTTTTAATTTTTAGAATGTTATGTGATATCTAACCAAGATCTTGAACTGCCCGGAGTGTATTCCAGAGTGTACCAAGTGTCAGCTGCCGTGTCTGACCTATCAGAAAGCCTAGAAAAGGATGGTGCCCAATGTAGCAAATCTCTAGGAGAACCGAGTAGTAAATAAGGTTTAAGACATGTAGATAATTGTGACAGGCAATATTATTATTCCAAATTTCATAAAGGAAAAACTTTTTTTTTCACTATTAAGCTGTCTTGTACACTTCGCTCTAAAAGCGGTTCTAAAAAGAACAATTTTCGTCTGCGTTTTAAAATGCCAGTCACTATATCATTATTAATAAATTTTTAGATAATAAAAATTAAAACATACGTACTTTTAGCTGACTAAATTATAGTATACGCTTAATGTTATAGTTTATTATTGTGGATTTTCAGGAATATTCACGAAAACTAGTGTATTTTTAAGTAGTTTAATTTCTATATTCTCATATACTAGTTAAAAAGTGTTTAAAAACCAAAATATACTATTTTTTAATTGCTGTGATAGTTTTTATGGAATTATATTTGATTTTTATGAATATTCTAATACCCCACTCATTTTTTTTAGATTTTTTTATCTTTTTAGTATATATCGTGACATTTACTCTCTGACGAACTGATTATATATTTTGTGTATGTAATTTTTATGTAGTAAAATAAGACTTACATATGTAATAATATGGAAGAAATGTAATCATTCCCAATAAAAATATAAATATAGAAATCGTTTTTTATTTATTTAAATAATAAAACACCCTTTTTTCGTTTGTTATATCTTTATTTTTTATTGTTAACACTAAATACTAAAAAGAATTTAAATAAATACTACACAGTAGGGTCTTAAATTCTAGTAAATCATAAATATGGCCTTTGTTTTCCTTCATTGTTCGATTCTCAAAGCTTAAGTACTAAATATATCACATAGGAAATCACTTAAATTATTTAAAAAAAAACAGGGATGGGCGTATGAAAAATTGTAACGTAAAAACTGTTTTACGTGTAAAAATTGGTTTTTAATGATCGCGGTAAAGAAGGTATTTTAATTTATTTCACTGTTGCTCATGAGGTGTTCCATTCTTCTCATTTTTATTAATTTTTTACGTTTTTTTACGCGTAAAAACACCCATCCCTGAAATAACCTTTTTTAATTGCACTAATTCGTTCATCTGGTGATTTACCACATGGGTATTTGGCTTTTTTCTTTGTGACTGTCGTACCTGAAACCAATAAATAATTACATTTTATTAAAAATTTTATAAAAGTCTATTTATTATCAAAACTTTTTTCTACCAGTGTATATCTGGTTGCCTGCTTTATATATTTTTCTATTAGACGCATTCCGTTAGATGTCGCTGCAGTAGGAATTATTGTTATTTTTTAAGAAATCAAGTTAGCTGATGCCACATTTGTTTATTCAATTGATCCTATTTTTTTTCTAAACAACCACAGTGCATTTTGAGGCGTCTTATTATTTTATTGGAACTTTTAGTATTTAAAATAGTAAAATAATTTTAAATTGTGATATAATACGGGTAAAGTAATACTTAAGTAACGTAACTTTTTATAAAATTAATATACAGGGTGTCCGGTAGTAGTGAAATATAAGACCAACAATTGAAAGAAGCCATATTACCTGTTTAAAATGGTAAGTTTATAGACAATATATTTTCTACAGTTTATAGCTATGTAGTTTTATAATTTCCAATAATAAATTACTAGTTAACGCACATAATTTCATAAACAGGCTTTTTAAAAATTAGTTAGTAGCCATTCTATAGACTTACAGCTGATTTATATAACAGCAAATTCTAAATAATAATAAAGTACTTTCAATCAAGAACAATCAAGAAACTTACCTATATAAATTTTTATTTGGAGGCGTATCATTCAACGAGTACGATGTTACTATTGAATCATCATCTTTATCATCATCCTGTTTGGTAGGATGGTCGTTTTTGCTCGTTTGAGAGTGTGAGTACCTCCAAGGTACTGCTGTGAGCTCGAAATTGTACTTTTCTATCATACTGCTACTTGCTTTTGATGATTCTGGTTTTTCTTCTTTCTGTTTCGATGATAATCGTCTGAAAATGTTTTAATATGACGTCAGAATTATTGTTTAATTATTTTATATATTATAATTTTATACAGTGTGTTTCTAGATATTTGGACAAAAATGGAAAAAGTTTTTTTTAATAAGTTTCTACATATAAAGTAAAATTATAATAATAGACATTTTATTTTCAAACGTCAAAGAAGTATTAATTTTTGCGACATGAATGACAATATAAAAAAGTCATTTTAACGCCTAGGCATAAATAAAGTTAATAATTAATAAGCACTCTACGCCTAAGCATAAAAGTACGAAAATATACATATTATTAAACTGACATAAACTGTCAAATTCAAGGAGCGTAACCATATTTTTTCGACATAATTACTTAAAATGTTTTTTTTAAATATTTTTATATTATTCGGAGTAAAAATGATATTTTGTGCTTCGCCTGTATGTCCAACGTACAGCCTTGCCACAAAAATAAAACAATATACCGTATGATCGAAAAAAAAAACAGCGTCTGGTTGGTTGGGAAATGACGATCGATGACATTTCCCATATAAATTGACATATAAAATGACAGCGATCTTCATTTCATTGCCATCGCTGACGCCGTTTTTTTTTCGATCGCACGGTACTATTAAATGCAAATTTTTATACGGGGTGATTTCTCATCAAAAAATATGATCCTATAAACATAGGTCCGGAAATGCATAGTTTTAAAGATACAGCTAGAGGATGTTAAAACTTTAAAAAATATATTTTTTTTGTAATTATCTTTTCTTAAGTAGGTAATTATCTTTTTAATAAGGGTATTTACAAAAATTAAAAAAAAATAAGCTTTAAGATCCTGTATGTTTAAGATTATGCTAAACTCATGTATACTTTTTTCCATATTTTTTATGAATCCTCGATATTTTGCTAACCCTGTATATGCGATTATTAAGGCCAAAGTTAAAAAGTTTGCAAAGTTTACCTTAAAATTTTGTGTCCAAGCCCAATATTATCGGGTTCCTCCAACTTGCTATTGCTTGTTTTCTTCTTTTGATACTTCCTGCCTCTGCTGTCTTCAATTATTATGTGTCGGTCATAAGGAGTGTCATAATCTACTTCTAGAATCGTCGAAAAACTGTGAGGATTTACGATTTCGATGGTTGTTATTATTACTCCAGCTGTGAGACAAATTCCACCTGAAATATTAAATGATATTGTATCTACAGGGTGTCCCAGGCTGTGCGTGCATTAGAAGTTTCTATAGAACTATAGTTATACAATATCTAGATAGGAGATTTTTTGCAGATCATTTTGTTTCACAATGAGATCTATCAGTTAAAAATGTTTTCAATATGGCGGCACAAGTTGACAACAATTTTCTTATAAGTGTATATTTAAGTTGAAGAAAATGAAAACAAAAATTTTAAATCTATAATAATATGAGGTCTTTATGCACGAAAAAAAATTACGAACAAATTCAAATTATCTAGATTATAAAAAATACAAATTTGAATACTAACCTGCTATAAGTACCAGCCAATAGCACCATCCGAACCTAAAATCCAACGTTTTTCCTTCTATATGAATCACTAGAGGAGTCTCTGGCAACATGCCGAAGTACCCGCACACTGTTGCCAATAGTAGGAACCCACATATCGTCATCAGTAAGGCACCGTACCTGGGTACCACTATCAGCATCAGGTTCATTAGTAACCATATGGCGAAAGACGTCCTAAAAATTGATAAAAAAATTATGTAGTTATATTTTTTTGTTATCTATTTTTTTAGAGAATTTTATTTACCACAAAACTAGTCTTGTTAATATAACGGGTGCTTCTCAAAAGTGGCTCAACCCCCTATAACTTTTTTATTTTTTCAGATAAAAAAACGAAATTTGGTATGTTAGTATATGACATAAATTAGGATTGACTGACGTATTCAATTGTTTTTGGTCACTTCCTGTTTCATGAAAAATTACTACAACTTCTGATTTTTAATTGGTATTTTTTTACTTTATTCGATAGACAATGACACTATGAATAGAATGTCATATCATATATCAACTTTTGACATTTTTGCATATGGTTTATTTGAAATTGAAACATGCGGTTCATAACGACAATTTGACTCGAAATACCAAGTGTGTGGTACCAAATTATTCGTAAAAAAATGCTTTTTCGAAATATGCTAATGAGCCACCCTTGTTCCATTTGAAAAAATTGAGATATGATTAAAAATACGATTTGGGCATCTTTCAACCGGCCAGGACAAGACTGGCTTGGAAAAATAGATCAAATCTATTTTTCCAAGCCTCCTTGATTATAAATTAGTATTTTTAACACAGCCATGGCACTCAAGATTGAAATTTAATACCATTTTTTTAAAGCGAAAATGTCAAAAGTTGACATATGATATGTCATTCTGTTCAAAGTGTCATTTTTTTATGAAATAAATTAAAAATATACCGAGGGTGCCATTTAAAAATCAAAATTTCTAGTCATTTCCGGTGAAACAAGAAGTGATCAAAAACAATTGAATACGTCAATCAATCCTAATTTATCTCATATACTAACATACCAAATCTCGTTTTTTTATCGGAAAAAATAAAAAAAGTTATAGAGGTGAGCCACTTTCGAGACGCACCCGGTATAGTGTGCTTCTCTACAGGGTTGTTCACCACATACGACACGGAGTACTGTAGCTAAACGATTAGATTTTTACAAATTGTAAGTTTTGGGTTCGTTGAAGGACTATTAGAGCTACAATTTAAAAATATTTTTTCAAGATACAGAGTGTCCCAAATAAATAAAAAATATCAAAGTTGTATTTTTTTAAATGGAACACCCTGTATATTATTACATTTTTAGTTTCTACGATTAAAATTAAGGTAAATTTGATTAAGGTTTATTACACTTAAACCTTACCGTTTTTGAAATATTTTCAATTTTGTGAAATTGCAGTATAAATTTTAAGGCTTCATTTCTCCGAGGGTATCAAAGTTTTTAATACTAAATATTTACTGAAGTTTATTTATTGATCAGTTATTGTGTTGCAATAATAAAAATACTACTACCTTATACAGATAATATATCTAAAAATTTATTTTAAATAATTACTAGCTTTAAACGACAATAACTTGTTTAATTTAAATGGAACATCCTATATATTTTATGAGAATCAGATGCACAATTTAATTGTCTATCAAATTGTGTTATATCACTTTTTACCTATCCCTTCAAGTTTCCGTAGAAAATGCATTTTCTTATAATTTAGACCTCATTTATCAATATACCCATGGAATATTGACATTTTAGGTTGTTTTTAAAACAACAAATGTACAAAATGTACAGGCTAGTAATATTATCGTTTTTAGTAAAAACTAGTTCATTTGTATGCAAAAAAAACTATTAAAATCTTTATAAAAGAGTATACCATTAATTAAATATACCACGAGTATTTCCGCCCAAATACTAATTAATTACATACTTAATTGTGTTCGTTAATAAATTATTCTAAATAAATTTGGATTTGAATCAGAAATCAATACAATAATAAGTTATGAAAATGAACGCCTCTGCTGTTATAAATAAGCATTTGTCAAAAAATGAAATATCATTTTTAAGGTGTTAGTTTTTTAGCAATTATTATTAATCAACGCAAACAGTCAATTAATGTAGTTTGAATACTGGAATCATATTAATTGGTCCTCTTTAACAAATATTTAAACAGTTTTTTTTTTATTTTTTAATGAAATAAACGAACTATATCGACAATATTAGTACCTGTACTCTTTAAAAATTTGGTACATCTTTAAAAATAATCTAAAATGTCAGTATTCCATGGGTATATTGATAAATGAGTTTTAAATTACAAGAAAATGCATTTTCTACGGAAGATAGGTAAAAAATGGTATAATACAATTTGATAGACAATTAAATTGTGCATCTAATTCTCATAAAATATACAGGGTGTTCTATTTAAATTAAACAAGTTATTGCCGTTTAAAGGTAATAATTATTTAAAATAAATATTTAGACACTCTGTATAAGGTAGTACAATTCTTATTATTGCAACACAATAACTGATCAATGAATAAACTTCAGTAAAGATTTAGTATTAAAAACTTTGATACCCTCGGAGAAATGAAGTCTTAAAATTTATACTGCAATTTCACAAAATTGAAAATATTTCAAAAACGGTAAGGTTTAAGTGTAATAAACCTTAATCAAATTTACCTTAATTTTAATCGTAGAAACTAAAAATGTAATAATATACAGGGTGTTCCATTTAAAAAAATACAACTTTGATATTTTTTATTTATTTGGAACACTCTGATTCTTGTAAAAATATTTTTAAATTGTAGGTCTAATAGTCCTTCAACGAACCCAAAACTTACAATTTGTAAAAATCTAATCGTTTAGCTACAATATTCCGTGTCGTATCTGGTGAACAACCCTGTATATGGAACACTGTGTATATAATTTTTTGTTTACCATAACATAATAATGGCAAAATATCCAGCTGCTCTGTACTGGCCTCCCCAAGCCAGGCCTTCCTGGCCCAATGTGAAGTATTCGGCAACGCTCAGTATAGGAAAAGGCAGCCCCCTCACTAGGGCTTCCCTGAAAATAACTGTCATCTGTTGGGAGTTCTCCCAATTGAACTGTTCGTTGTAGTCGATGTCGACAGTCGAATTATTAAAAGCCATAGCTGAAAATAGTTGTCTATCACTGAACTTGCTGATTTATTCAGTAAATTATTTATATTAATTAATACTAAATAATTAAGTATGAGTGTTTTAAGGAGGTGGTAGAGATCTTATTTTTTATCTGTTACCTTGTAAAGTAATATTAACATGTCTTAGTCCAACGTAAGCACCCAAATGTGCTGAAATTTTCTCATTGGAAAATGCTTTGTACGTGCTCACTATCGAGGTTTCGGCTATATGCCAACAGGAACCATATAATGAAACTAAAAAGAAAAAAATGTTTTTAATGGGCATATTAATCTGTTTTGTATTCATTGCCAAAGTGTGATTGTTCTTAAGTTAATTTTAAAATAATAATATGTAAATTTACCTAAGATTGTAGCTCCTACTAATAGAGATAATGACACAGCCCAGAATGTGGTGAATCTCTGTAAAAAATATAAAAATTAAATAAATTTTATAATAACTTAGTGAAGCCTATATGGATGAGCGAGGATGCAAATAATTTCAAAATCCACTTAATTGCAATTTGTGCAATAACAAAGAGAAACAAGCAACTTTATATAGTAATTTACAGTTTACAGATAAGTGGCTAAGATATTTATGTGTTTCAAGGTTCGGATATTACATATTCGCGAGTTAATTTTGGGAAATATAATGGTAGAATAAATTATATCAAATTAATTATTAGGATCCGTCCTCTGTTCTGTTGGCTACCTTGAATATTTTTATAAATACAAGGTGAGTCTTACATAAGTGCAAATATATTTAGGGGTAGTATAGTTCAACCCCAGAAGCACGTCTATGAGGTTTTTTCCGGAAAATTTGGAATTTTTTGAAATTTTAATTAATTTTTTTTAGCTGTTAGTTATTTATTATCTCTAGGTTGCATTATTCAGATATAATATTCCATTTAATAATATACTACTTGTATGTAAACAAAAAAATTACTACTTAAATACTACCTGTATGTTGACAAAAAAAAATTCCTCCATATTATATAAAAATTATAGAGGGTGAGTTTCCTACAACGTTCTCTATGGGTATCTCGGAAACTACTGGAGATAGAGAGTCAGTTAAATGGGGAAAGAATTGCAGTTTTGTGGGGTCATAAATATGCGCTTTTCAGATTTTCGAAAAAGTTCATGGCTTACTAGATATTTCGAAAAAAACAAATTTTGGATATTTTAAAAATTGTCCCTAATTCCATTATAATCTATTTTAGACAAAAAGTTTTCAGATAAAAGTTGTAGATAATCACATCCCTAATGAGACTGTGTTCCCCGATTTTTTCTAAAGCCTGTCATTTTTGACATATGACACAAACATATGTTTTTTTAAATGGAAACCATAGTTGGCCATGACTTCATAAAAAGCGCCATTTTTTAAGCTTTTCAGTGATATAAGCTATAATATGTTTCTTTCGCCAAATTACTGAGTTATAGCCAATCCTTATCTTTCTTGACTAATTTCACTTAGTTAGCCATGGAAACAAGTTCAATCGTTATTGCTCTCAGAAATGTGAAATTGTCACATCCAATCTTTGTAAATTAACATAAACAAAAATTATAAATAAGAGTTTTTTAAATGGAGAAAAGCGTGTAGGATTATTGGTTCAACTTTTCTTGGCCATACAGTTTCGAGGATACGTTGACCGGTGAACGTCACGTTTTTTAGAGAACGGTTTTCAAGACATGTTAGAAAAGTTAAATTTAGATACTCGCGCATTAAAAAGTTCCAACATGACTTTCATTATGACACACCAAACCCCCCCCCACGAAGATGCATTTATGTACTCAAAATAATTGCGGATTTTTTGAACATTTTCTAAAATAACTTAAAGTGTACGTAGTGATATTATTTTTTTAAGTTTTAGTTTGTGTAGTATAAATTGTAAAGAGCCGTTTAATAATATATTTTGTCTTTTTATAAGGTATTAATCACAACAAAATTTGAACACCATTGAAAACCGTTCTCTAAAAAACGTAAGTAACTTTCACCGGTCAACGTATCCTGTATGAAAAGTTGAACCAATAACCAATCATCCAATAATTTACAAAGATTGGATGTGACATAATTTCACATTTCTGAGAGCAACGACGATTGAACTTGTTCATGGCCAACTATGGTTTCCATTTAAAAAAACATATGTTTGTGTCATATGTCAAAAATGACAGGCTTTAGAAAAAATCGGGGGACACAGTCTCATTAGGAATGTGATTATCTACAACTTTTATCTGAACACTTTTTGTCTAAAATAGATTATAATGGAATTATGGGCAATTTTTAAAATAGCCAAAATTTATTTTTTTCGAAATATCTAGTAAGCCATGAACTTTTTCAAAAATCTGAAAGGCGCATATTTATGACCCCACAAAACTGCAATTCTTTCCCCATTTAACGGACTCTCTATCTCCAGTAGTTTCCGAGATGCCCATAGAGAACATCGTAGGAAACTCACCCTGTATAAAAAAACACTAATACAGAGCTTTTTCGGAAGCCTGAATCACCCTGTATGAGTGGATAAAAATATAAATAGCATTCACAATGTTTTGTTTGTTATATTTTTACTGAGATTGAGTATACATGCATATTGTATGATCGTGCGAAATATCAATATTCGATTCTCTTTGTTGCATATTTATGATACCTTTTGCTTGAAGGCCTGAGCGTTTTGTTTTCTAATGGGATATGATTAATGATACTAGCAAGCCTTGTGGGTCTAGAGAAGCAAAAATTCTTTGAATTATGATCTATGTGATTTCGTGGCCGATCCTCGACTCATTTGCGTGTCTAGGCTTGGGCTGATATATGTATAGTAGAAGTGGCAAGATTTTTCTATATTTTGGCATTTGACATCGTGTGTGGTAATACAAGGACGTAAAATATGTATTTCGATATATTTGTTATTTCAAAAATAAAAACAATATGTTTCCAACAATCCTGATTTTCTTATTTTTTAGCTATTCGAAAAAAAAATGCATTTAAATATAATTTTTTAAGCGTTTTTTTCCTAAATATTAATATTTCTTTTTCATTAATATTAAAAATTGTATTTCAGGCTTTGCTGCTTTTAAGTGTTTAAAATATGTCCTTCATAGTGTTTGATTGTATCAAAGATATTTTTTATAGATTCGTATGGAATAGAGTTGTTGTTTAATATTAATTAAGGCAATTTATTATTGTTTAATTTTTAATTGCAATCATATTTCGCAAAAGGAACAATACCGAATTTTTGTTATTGTTTTAATTATATTTGGTAGAAACTCTTACCAAATAATACAAAATAATTTAAGTACTTAATAATTGTATGCGAAAAACAATGGAGAATGCTAATTTGTTAATTGAATTAAGTTAATTTGCGACTGTTTAATAATTCTTTTTTGACAGCAAAAAATGCCTGCTTTAGAAATTAAGAAAAAAGAATTTTTCATTATTTTTAGAAAAAAAACAAATTCAAACATTTTTCGGTCAAAAAAATTAAGTAATGTTACCACTGTTACCGCACGCAACGCAATCATGTTAATTTCAATATATATCTTATTTTTGTCGGTATCTTTCTCATCGTGAGTTGGCAGGAATTACATTTCAATTCGACAAATAATATTTCCATTACCGCTAATTTAGGCGACGTCCAATCGTTTGAAAAAAATCTTGATCCGCCGCTGTGATAACACATTTTATGTCTTAATTAACTCTCCCTTGCCAACTGGCTCCTTTCCTCTTTACCTCCTGTGGTGTTGGTTACCTACCTACCTCCTATGGTTACCTTCTTGCCTTATCAAACATGTCCATTTACTAGTAGTGGGAACTATCGAATGAATACTATCGAAACATTCGATAGTTGCAATTCATTCGAATAATTCGATAGTTAGTAAGAAAACATTCGTTGAAAACTATTCGAATAAAAATTATCGAATAGATCCGTCATCTGCCTTGAAATATTGTATTCTAGTAATTCGGCAGCAAAAACCATTCATTTATAAAATTCATTCATTTATGAAATTCATTTATTCGTCAGGATCGATTATAATAAAATATTAACTGAATTTTAGTTTCTTTCCGAGAAACCCGACAGCGGTCGGTGGCAATGCTATGAAAGAAGCCGGCATCTTTGATTTTTTGCAGTCAGATATAGATAAGGACACATTATTTTTTTTATTGAGGTGCTAGTATTTACACAGAAAATACATTATGAAGGGCGCTGTTGCCATATTTTGGTATTAGTTGATATTACCAAAGAATATTATTGTTTGGCTTTAGTTAGTTAGGGATAGTATGTCTATATATTCTGCATTTTTTTTATTAATATTCTGTTGTTACATTGCAATAATACTTGTTATTTTGGATGTAGGAAAATGATTTTTAATGTTTTTAAGCAAATACTGGTTTAATAAATAATAATAACAGTAATAATTTGTTATACCTATTAACAACAAAATTTAAAATCATTTAATATAAATATTTTTTTTAAGTAGTAGCAAAATATAAACAACAAATTAGTTGTCAAAATTATTTATATTAGATCCTATTTAAAAATAATATAGTCTCTAAATTTTTTGGCAACGTTGGTTTATTAAATAATAATAATTACAGAACTAATTTGTTATATTAACAACAAATTTTAAAATCATGAAATATAAACATTTATTAATTTTCTAAGCATGCGGTGTAATGGAAGGAAAATATAAATAAAACATTAGAAATCAAAATTATTTATATTAGGTGCTTTATATTACTATTTAAAAATTATATTTACTTTTACTGGCATTTACTTTAAAAAATAAATGAAATATTTCTTCGCAAAAAACTACATGTAAGAGAATTACCTTAAACAAAATACACAACATCGTTAACTTTTTTTTTAAATTGGCACGTGTAAAACTTTCATTTTAATTTTCTCACCCCATAGTTTGAGTTCGATAACCATTTATTTAACCACATTACTTATATATAATTATTAAGTTCAACTAATTCATATTATTAAAACATCTAAAATACAAATATGTATTTTTAAAATTAATTGTAAGTTCATCTCCTCTCTCTTAAAAATTGCTACTTCCCAAAATTTCCCATTAAAAAATAGACCATATACCATATAAAATTAAATAATTGAAAGATCGGACTACGGAAAACCACACAAATTATCGAAAAAATTTTGACCACCTGCACATGCACACAATCGTCAATAAATAAAATTAAAAAATAACTACTATTTTAGTATTTTAACTATTTTAATAAACGCAAAAATAGCACAGTATTTATACGGCGAAGTTATAAAATTTGGAAGAACCAATAATGCACTGACGCATACAAAAAAATCAAACGAATACTAAATTTCATTTATCAAAAGCATTCGATAGTCGTGGCTCAACGATAACCATTTAGTCGCACGGCGAGGTTGTCACATATGCTTTAGTTTACAAATGAATGAATGATTTTATTCGAATAAAACCATTCGATAGTTGAAATCATTCATTCATTAACCATTCGATAGTCTAATTCATTCGATAGTTCCCATCGCTACCATTTACAACTAATTTTGGCGAATATTTGGATTCAACTAAGCGCGAAAATTAAACATATGGCAATCTGCACGATCGATTGCTCAAAAAATAGCAGAAAAAAACGTTTTTTACGAAAAGAATAGATTACATTGCAGGCGCGATCCATGTAGAAAAAGCGCGTTGCAAAACAGCATAATGGAAAGCTTTGTGCCACCATAAATTACCTATCAAAGCAAATTTATCAATTTTGCGCAAGGCTGCAGCCTGCTTAACTCGCTAATACATCCACGCATAAATTTAAGAGAGCACTTAATTGCTTTTTTAATCAAATTCGTTACGATATTATACAAAAATGACACAATTTGATGTGTATGACAACAGCAATTTCGCATTTTTCTAGGTATAAGCACGAGATAAATAAATCTTTTGGGTTTCATTAAAAAACTTTTTGGAATCACAAATACATGGACTGTTGATGTTATTAACGTTTCATTATAATTGTGACTGTGTCAGCTATAAATATAGTCTGTGAAACGATTAACTTTGAATTTGACAGTTCCCGCGGGCTTTCCTAGTGCTAATTTTATTAAGTTAGCAACTTGCGGCCATGCTGATGCAATGCCGTCTCTAATAGAACAGCCACGAATTTTATGACGTCACTCTAGTTGGATACTATGGATTAATAAATATGTTGTAGAATACATGGAAAACATAATTATTCCTCGTATATGTAATTTTATGGATTATATGACTAATAAAATAAATAAACATATGACACAACACTGATGAAGGCTATAAACGTTAATTATAACGTTTTTTTTAAACCAAAAAAAATTATGAAAATTTAATCAGCGTTTTTCCCGAACCTAAATCCCAAGAAAATCAAAAATTTTAGAATAATTTTACATATAAAATGACAGCGATCTTTATTTCATAGCCATCGCTGACGCCTTTTTTGCTATGATATTGTATTATTTGCAAATATAAATTTTTCAAACATTGATGCTTTCAAAATATACATATAAATTTTGTGAATGCAAATAATAATATATCACTATTAGTAGATATTGAATGTTTTTTTGTTGAATTAGATCGATTTTCAAATCCCAAAATTTAAAATATATTTTACATTTTACCCATTATCTGTACTTATTATGTACCTATTCATTATTTGTATATTGTAAAACATTTGCTCCATTTGTATGGTTCATAGTTTATTTGCCAAAGTATTTATTACTATAAATAGGTATATATATATATATATATATATATATATATATATATATATATATATATATATATATATATATATATATATATATATATATATATTTATATATATATATATATATATATATATATATATATATATATATATATATATATATATATATATATATATATATATATATATATATATATATATATATATATATATATTGGGCAAGTCCACAGAAAGATTAGTCATGATACATGACTAAAACATGACTACCCGTAGACACTCAGTGTTTCTGCCTTCCGGCTTCATCAATACGGGAGGAATCAGCAACGATGAACTAGCGATCCTGAAAAAAGAAAGAAAAGGAGAAGCAAACGAGGCACAAAGGCGCCATTTGCAGCTGGTCCGGCAGTAGCTTACAATTTGAAGCGTTACTACCGAAAAACCGCCGCGGAGGCGTTCCAACACACCTCGCCGCTATCACCCTGGCCCTTCGTTTTTATAGTTTCCACGATATCATCCTTTGTTTATATATATATATATATATATATATATATATATATATATATATATATATATATATATATATATATATATATATATATATATATATATATATATATATATATATATATATATATATATATATATATATATATATATATTGTATTTATTAACTGTATATTATGTATATTTCATGTAAACTATATCATTTTTAAAATACAAACCAAAAATACGAGGAATAATTATGTTTTCCATGGATTCTACAACATATTTATTAATCCGTGATATCTAACTAGCGTGACGAATCTCGCTCCGAGGCTGTTCTATTAGAGACGGCATTGGGCTGATATTTAGAAATGTCAAAAGCTGATGACATTTTACTTTTGTCAGTTATGACATTTCGCGTCGATTTTTGCAAGAAGAGGAAGAACTGTCACTTGTTTTATTATTTTCCTTTTCTATTTCATGAAAGTAAAAAGAGTTACCTATCTGATTCGTTCAGGCACTCATTTTAAAGAATATCAGTAACTTTTTGGATAGAGGGATTTGATATTTGCCATGTTGGTAAAAAATAACGGTCAAAATTCAAAGTTATTCATTTTATAGACTATAGTAATAGATATAGATATATATCTCATCTCAATATAGATAGATAATGTCTATCTTTACTTTCCTCTTCCATTTCTCTAATACGTCTTCTCTCATTTTTCTAGCTTCTCACATAAAAATCTATTTTTATGTAAAAAAAAATGTCGTCAAAAAGCTATTTATTAAATTGGTACTCACTTCTTTTCTTATACCCGGAAATATGATCAAGAAGGCCACGTAAAGCGTGGCGAATATGGCCAAGAACGTGATGACGGTCACGTCACCGGTCACAGCCGTTCGATTGCTGAAACTGTAAAGTGTGGGTCCTCCATCGGTTCGAAACGCATCGAACCAGCCCTTCATGTCCTTGGGATTTGATCTGCAACAGAACAAAAATAATTATAAATACACAAATCACAAAAATAAAGACTAAAAAAAATTCAATAGTACGAAAAAGTAGCAAAATAGCTTTCGGCATTTAACGTTTTATGTAAAACTGTCTAGATATTTTTACACAAATGAAGAAGAAAATTAAAGATAAAGGATTATACTATATCCGTATTGTGGCACATTTTTAGACAACTTCTTTATTTTTAAGATTTTGATGGTCAAACATCAACAAAATATTCCTTATGTTTGGACTAAATTTTCTCGAAAATAAAGACGTAATTTAAAATTCTGTTACAATACGGAAATAAACTGAAGTTTTGTGATTACAGTGATATACAGAGAAGACCAGGCTACTAGTAACATAGCAAGTTGCCGGACGAATTTACGTTTACCCGATTTGCGTTCGTACTAGAGATTCACTGCCGGCTAGTCGGCTGGTCAGGTAGTACGCAGTTGCAGTTGTGCTTGGACGGGTCGGTCGTGAGCAGGGTTCGGAAAACTACATGTTACTTTTAAAAACTACATAAACTACATGACATGTAGTTTATGTAGAGGGTGTAGTTTATGTAACTTATGTATGTAACTTTCAAATATCAAAGGTTTGAGGTGAGGTTTTAATAAGTTGAAGCTTTAAAAACACATAATGTATTTAAGAAAACAGAAGGAATATGGTTTTAAATATAATATTTACATCATATTATCTCTATTACACCTCATACAAAGGAAATTTATTCATAATATCAATACATAGTTTATTAACGTAGTTTTCATGTAGTTAATGAACGGGAAAAGACGTAGTTTTTGAAGAAAAACTACACGTAGTTAATCAGGTAAATTACGTCTTAATTAACTACTTCCGAACCCTGGTCGTGAGACTAGGAATACGACGCGAGGAGTGCCGAGTATCTATTATTTTTATTTTAAGTGTTTACCTTCACTTAAGGTAACATTTAAAATAAAAATACTTAAATATTTATTATTTGAGTGTGTTTACAAGCAAAAATTAAAAATAAATAAATTCTCTAAACCCGAAAAAAACTAAAATATTACTCTAAATAAAAAAAAGTTATAACTAGTGTTCAAAAAGACCACCTTCTTGTGCTAGACAGAAGCCTAGGCGGTCGTAAAATCCCCGTCTGACATTGGCTAACATATTAGGGCTAATAGTTTGGAAAGCCTCTCACTGTTAATAATTTAAGAATTATTAACAGAAAATTTGATTTTTTATATGGGACACCCTGTATATTTTTAATTTATGGAAAAGAATTTTAAATTACCTTTCCAAAAATATAACACACTTGATATTTTGTTCGGTTCCCCTTCGAGATATCGAGTATATAAAAATTCGCCCGCTTTAATTAAGTAGGCTTTGAACGGCACCGGCTGTAATGCAAAAAAATTCTAGCTGTGAGCATCAGTTAAAACGAAAATAATATTTGCTATGAGAGATGCAAAATTTTATAACAATTTAAAATATATTTAACCAACATCAACACATTTAAACTATATCTAATAACTATAAAAATAAATAACAAACCAAGACAGGAGATTTTGCTACAGGTGTTCGACATATCGACCGTCTTCTGTTATGGACAGACGGGGCAGTTTCTCGCGGAATTCATTAACTCAGAAGGGGTGAAAGATACCCTCTCATAACTGCTAAGTATTTCTAATTCTTGTCTAGATTATACGGAAGAATAAGGAACCTTTATTCTTCCGCAAATATATCCATAGGATTAGATCCATGGGCACTAAGTCAGGTGGCCTCGACGGCCAACGGCTGGGATCTTGGTTAGCTATTCAATTATTCTTGAAACTGGCTGCAAAAATTTGCTGATAACTTCAGCGTTCAGAGGCGGTGCGTCGTGTTGCTGGAAAAATATGTTTTCGAGTTCCATTAAGGGCATATCATCAATAAGGGGTCCAAAGCCTACTAGTTAAAAGTGGCGAACTTTTAAAATTCTGTATTTCGAAGGGGATTATAACAAAATATCAAGTGTGCTATATTTTGGAAAGGTAATTTTAAATTCTTTTTAGTTAATTAAAAATATAGAGGGTGTCCCAAATATAAAAACTATTTTTCTGTTGATAACTCTTAAATTATTAATTTTAAAAAAATTATACTTAAACCATTAAATTCTACGTAAAAAGGTGCTTTGGAAATGTTTTCATAGAAATACAAAATTTTCCATAGTAAAAAACTTACAGCGATTTGTTAAAAATGCAAATTTTTGAAAACCACCCCGTAACTCCGAAACGGTAACAGATATTGATATGCAGTTTTCACCATGATGAAAATTGAGCTCCAGACACCGATATTAGTTTTTCTCTATCTCCTATAGAAAAGGGTATTTCCATTTAAAAGCGTCGAATTTGACTCACCCTGTACAGCGTAATAGACTCTTAAATCGTTCCGTCAGAATAAAACTAATAATTATTCCCCCTACAATATTATGCAATTAATCATACATAATTCAGACTTTCAACACGCGCATATTTCTACCCATTTATATTAATTTTCTTAATTAAGAAATAAAGCTAGCAGAAGAGAAAAAACGCCAAACCGAACGAAATATCCCCTATCGCATTCCTCGCTAACAAAATATTATTTATGACAAATGTACCAATTAAATCTAGCACAGCTTCAGCATAAAAACACCCCCTAACTGTTCTATTATCGAAAATCAATTACAAGTTTATGATTATTTTAATATATACGGATTAAAACGATCGAATCGGTAAAAATTCGGTTCAAGTAACGACATTGTCTAATTAAATCCTCGACGGGTGGCCGTTTTTTCCTGTCGTAAATTAATATTTCTCGAAATTTTGCATTATTTTCCATTTATAACTTACCGTAAGAGGTAGGTAAAATTGGTGGATTGCGAAATGCGAATTATTTTATTCCCTGTCCATGGTTTTCGACTAGTATCTACAGTTGAGCACATTTCAAAAATATTGCAACATTTTACAACTAAAAAGTAGTTAAATATAAACGAGAAATATAAATAATTGGACAACTAATTGAGTGAACTGAAAAAATGCGTTGAAAAAAAAATAACAAATAGAAACCAATAGAAACTAATATGAAACTAAAAAAAACATGGAATCATAATTGAACTGAAAAAAAAAGATTTTTATCCAACAGCCACTACTTATACAGACATTACTCACATGTACAGGGTGGGTCAAATTCGACGCTTTTAAATGGAAACACCCTTTTCTATAGGAGATACACGAAAACTAATAGCGGTGTCTGGAGCTCAATTTTTGTCAAAAACATGATGGTGAAAACCGCACATCAATATCTGTTACCGTTTCGGAGTTACGGGGTGTTTTTCAAAAATGTGCATTTTTAACAAATCGCTGTAACTTTTTTGCTATGGAAAATTTTGTATTTCTATGAAAACATTTCCAAACCACCTTTTTACGTAGAATTTAATGATTTAAGTATAATTTTTTTAAAATTAATAATTTAAGAGTTATCAGTAGAAAAATAGATTTTTTTATTTGGGACACCCTCTATATTTTTAATTAACTGAAAAGAATTTAAAATTACCTTTCCAAAAATATAGCACGCTTGATATTTTGTTATAATCCTCTTCAAAATACAGAATTTTTAAAAGTTCGCCACTTTTAACTAGTAGGCTTTGGACCCCTTATTGATGAAATGCCCTTAATGGAACCCGAAAAACATCTGAAAGCTGAAGTTATCAGCAAATTTTTGCAGCCAATTTCAAGAATAATTGAATAGCTAACCAAGATCCCAGCCGTTGGCCGTCGAGGCCGCTTGACTTAGTGCCCATGGATCTAATCCTATGTATATATTTGCGGAAGAATAAAGGTTCCTTATTCTTCCGTATAATCTAGACCAAGAATTAGAAATACTTAGCAGTTATGAGAGGATAACTTTCACCTCCACTGAGTTAATGAATTCCGCGAGAAATATTCAAAAACTGCCCCATCTGTCCATAACAGAAGACGGTTGATATGTTGAACACCTGTAGCAAAATCTCATGTCTTGGTTTGCTATTTATTTTTATTGTTATTAGATAGTTTAAATGTGTTGATGTTGGTTAAATATATTTTAAATTGTTATAAAATTCTGCATCTCTCATAGAAAGTATTATTTTCGTTTTAATTGATGCTCACAGCTAAATTTTTTTACATTACAGCCGGTGCCGTTCAAATCCTACTTATTTAAAGCGGGCGAATTTTTATATACTCTATATCTCGAAGAGGAATCGAGCAAAATATCAAGTGTGTTATATTTTTGAAAAGGTAATTTTAAATTCTTTTCAATAAATTAAAAATATACAGGGTATCCCATATAAAAAATCAAATTTTCTGTTGATAAATCTTAAATTATTAATTTTAAAAAAATTATACTTAAACCATTAAATTTTACTTAAAAAGGTGCTTTGGAAATATTTTCATAAAAATACAAAATTTTCCATAGCAAAAAAGTTACAGCGATTTGTTAAAAATGCATATTTTTGAAAAACACCCCGTAACTCCGAAACGGTACCAGATATCGATATGCGGTTTTCACCATCATGGTTTTGACAAAAATTGAGCTCCAGACACCGATATTAGTTTTTGTCTATCTCCTATAGAAAAGGGTGTTTCCATATAAAAGCGTCGAATTTGACCCACCCTGTACAGGGTGGTGCCTCTCATACCCCGGGAAGCTCCAAGGAGAACGGTAGTTTATATCTAAATGAAATTTTGGTAGCATATGTAGGTTAACTGAAAGCATTTTATAAAAATATGTAGAATTATACATGGTGGCCCCAAAAAAAGTTACACATCAAAGTTGTGCTTTTTCTAACGAAATACCCTATATATTAATTGATTTTCGGATTCTAGAAAAAAAATAAAGATGAGTTTTATTAAAGAAGCATATACCAAAAATCTAAGGATTTTGATATATTTCACATTTTGTGAAAAGGAAGAGTAAATTTTAAATTTCGATAACAGCTACCTAAA